GGGTGCATATCTGCATGTGAGGACCCAACAGTGGCTTCAGGCTTTTCCTCCCCTCCCCAAACAGCTGTGCAGCCGCTGGGCTCTGTCTCCCCATCTGCTGCCCACTGGGGCTCGGAGAGGTGGAGGTAGGAGAGGAGGGTCCTGGGCCTCCCCCGGGGGCCGGGCTGGAGACGCACTTTCACTTTTACTGCCTTTTAACAAGCTTGTGTTCCTCTGAGCTTCCTGTTTAATAAAGGTTTCTACTGACTGGCCTTGGTGTGGGGCTGCACTCGGGGAGCACTGGGGTGGTGGGGCCCCAACCTGAGAAACCAGTGGGGTTGGGGCTGTCTTGGGGGTTGGTTTCCATCCTGAACTGGAAACGTGTTCCTGGCTGGGCTCGCAGGTGGTTCTTTGGGCATCGCGGTGCTTTACCCACTCCTCTGCAATTCCACATGCTGCCATCTGTGGGATGGGAGCTGGGGCTGATCCTGCCCCACTCTGCTCCTCCGCAGAGGCTGTGCCACGGGGGGACAGGGCCATGGCTCCACACGGGGATCACTTTCTACTGCCTGGTCCCTTCCCTGCCTTCCCCCTGGTTTGGGGACAGCATTTGAGCAGGGTGCCCATGACCACAGCTCCTCCCACAGCGCAGGAGGAGGACAGCAGCATGGGGCTGATGTGAAACCAGGACATGGATCTACTGCACCACTGCCCTCCGTGACTTCCCAGCTGCCCTGTTTGCCCCAGCACCCATTCCTACCTGAAGGACCAAATTCACTGCTCAAGGTTCAAGGTCCCCATGTCCCTGCTCACTGGGGTCAAGCTGGCTGCAAGCCCAGTGCCAGGCGGGGATGTGCCACTTCCTTCCCCTGTTTGTGCACTTGCTCCCTCCTCTTTAGCCCTGTTTCTCCTTAAAACAGCCTGAGAAATGTTTAACCACAGACCATGCTGTAAGCTCATCCTGCTCCCAGCCCTCTTCCCTGCACCCCTTGGGACTGGGAGCATGCTGTGCCATGCCATGCCATGCCATGCTGTCCCCAAACTCAGCAGCCAGGAGCGCAATGGCACATGCAGTCTGTCTGTCCCCTGTGTTTGAGTGGGGTGACCCAGTGTGGTGTCGTCATGGTGTCACCCCATCACAATTCAGCTGGAAGGCTCTCCTGCTGCTCTAGTCCATGGGGCTCCTGCCACACAGAGCCAGGGCAGGAGGATGGGGAGACCAGGGTGCATGGGCATCAGTCCCCTGTGTGGTGCACCCTTAGGTTGATGTTTGTTACCCGAGGCGATTGAGGTGCTGAAGCTTTGGTGCAGGGTACCCAGCCCAGCCATATACCAGCATATCCTCATCCCTGTGCTCAGCAACGTCCAGGTCTCCTGCTCTCCCTGTTCCAATTTCATTTTGGTAGGGGGTGATGGTGGTCTGCAATGCTGACCAAAGGGGTGACACCCGAAGAGGGGGAAGTGGCCACTGGCTTTCACAGCGGGCACAGGGAGAGGACTCACGCCGACATCCTGAGCTCTGCTGCCCTGTTCCCAATAGGTAACCCCCATAGCAGCACAGCTTTTCCCCTGAGCAAAGGTGAACCTCTGATAGCATTCAACAGCACATTCCATTAATAGGGAACCTCACGGGATGATGAGCCCTTGAGAATCCTATTCTCCATGAAAGCAGCCCCTCTACTGGGGACAGAACCACGTCCCCTGCTGCGGCAGTGCACCCATCTCTAGGGATGCATTGGCAGCTCCACATGAGCCAGAGCACCACAAAAATAACCACTGTGCCTCCCAGGGATGATTCACGATGCAGCTGAAGGGCTTCCCTCCTGCTATGCTGAATTGCTGGAGAAAGAGCTGATAATAGCTTGTGTAGGGGTTCTTGTTTCCAAAGGGCACATGGCGGGTTGGGAAGTGCTGCCTGGCTTTATGTCCTATCATCCCCACCATGGATACAGACATGGTTTAGGAGATGGACACCCTGCATACATCCTGCGTGCCCCACGGTCCTCAGCTCCTGTTTGCTCCCATCTCCCATGCCCTGGCAGTAACCCTGCAGGGACAGTGCCTGCCCAGCTCTGGATGCGGCTCTCAGCCCTGGCACTCACGGAGTCTCCAGTCCCTGCACTGTGAGGTTTGGACTCAGAGGAGTCAGGAGAGCCCAGCAGTGGGATGAGCTCTGGGACATCCTGGCCATGGCTGGGGGGCACCATTAGATGCTGTCACAGCATAAAGTTTAATTTATACCTTTAATTCTAATCTGCCTTGGAGGCTCTGGGCAGGTTTTGGGGGTTCTATTAGCCCCTATGGTACATCTTCTGTGGGTGCCATGCCCATGCCAGCACAGCCCAGCCCACACTTTCAAACATTTCAACTTCCAAAACCCACTTGAGTTTTCTCTGCAAGGAAATAACTCAGGGAGGTGAAGCACAGCATTGTTTATCCAGGTTATTGAGAGAGCTGGGCTGGGTCAGCCTGGAGAAGAGAAAGCTTCTTAAGGGGAGACCTTAGAGCAGCTCCAATGCCTAAAGGGGCTGCAGGAAACCTGGAGAGGGGCTTGGGACAAGGGCCTGTAGGGACAGGCCAAGGGGAATGGCTTTAACCTGCCAGAGGGGAGACTGAGATGAGCTCTTAGGCAGAAGCTCTTCCCTGTGAGGGTGCTGAGGTGCTGGCCCAGGGTGCCCAGAGAAGCTGTGGCTGCCCCATCCCTGGCAGTGTCCAAGGCCAGGTTGGACACAGGGGCTTGGAGCAAGCTGCTCTAGTGGAAGGTGTCCCTGCCTGTGGCAGGGGTTGGAACTGGATGAGCTTCAAGGCCCTTTGCAACACAAATCAGGCTGGGATTCGATGATTCTGTGATTCGCAAGATGCTGACAAGTGGCTGCTTCATTTAATTCCTGCCCTATCCCCTACCTGGGAAGCAGAGCAGAGCCCTGGCATCCTCACCACAGACAAGGCCAAGTCCCCCCTTTGCTGCCAGTGGTGTTGGGGCATGTGTTGGAAGCACCCGTGGCAGAAGCTGGGGGCACCCGCTGCCTCCGGCCACCAGCAGAAGTTTTGCCCTGCACTTCGCCCTCATTTGCAGCTGCTCCTTCCTATGCTGAAAGCCACATTGACCCGGGAACTGAGCACGGGTTTTAGCAACACAGGAGCATGAAAAGGCCCACCCAGGACTTTGCTTTGATCCATGATAGAGCCCTGCCATCACCCAAACCCCTTCCAGCACTCCCTGGCAAGGTGAACCTCTGTCCCCACTGCCATCAGCGGATTTATCCCCTCCCTCTACCAGCTGCCCCCGTTTCAGTTCAATTTGATGTGATTTGGTGATGGCCATGCTCCACAGCTCCAGCCCTCGTGTGCACAGCACTGAGCCCTCTGTGTGCACATGCTCCCTGGAGTCCTCAGATACCTCCGCCAGCTCCCAGGTGCACTTTTTCCGCCTCTTTTCCCTTGCACCTACCCGGAGCAGCCGGGAGATGGTAAAAATAACTGTGATGCATCACTGCAACTACTGCGGGCTCAGCTTGCAGCCACTTGTCCCCGGGGGAGGAGGAGACCAAGGGAGCTCCATGTGCTGCAGCTCGGTCATGTTGGGCTGCGGAAACACCATGGGTTTGAGACCTGGGTTAAGAGAAGCTGAGCTCAGCAAAATGGGATGGGGCAGGATGAAGCCCACCTCTGCAAGAGGTCACTGCACCACAGGTACACCAGCAATGGTGGGAAGCTCTCCCAGGCCCGGCTTTATCTGCTTTATTTATCCAATTAACTGCTTATTGGATGGGAAAGCAAAGTTGAGTTTGTTCTTTCTTTGTAGCTGCAAATTGAGCTGGGCTGGATCAGCCTGGAGAAGAGAAGGCTCCTGAAGGGGAGACCTGAGAGCAGCTCCAGTGCCTAAAGGGGCTGCAGGAAACCTGGAGAGGGGCTTTGGACAAGGGCCTGTAGGGACAGCCCAAGGGGAATGGCTTGAACCTGCCAGAGGGGAGACTGAGATGAGCTCTTAGGCAGAAGCTCTTCCCTGGGAGGGTGCTGAGGCGCTGGCACAGGGTGCCCAGAGAAGCTGTGGCTGCCCCATCCCTGGCAGTGTTCAAGGCCAGGTTGGACACAGGGGCTTGGAGCAAGCTGCTCTAGTGGAAGGGGTCCCTGCCCGTGGCAGGGGTTGGAGCTGGAGGAGCTTTAAGGTCCCTTCCGGCACAAACCAGGCTGGGATTCTGTGCAGACCTCAGAGGACAGGCTGAGGTATGGACACGGGTGTCCACTCCATTCCTTTCCACATACACAGGCCGCTGGATGCCTTCATTGGGCAGGGATGGAGGCAGCTCCTGCCTCCTCTTTCTCCTCATCCCCTGCCCCTCCCGCAGGCCCTGATCGGGGTGCAATGGGGGTTTTACATCTGCTCGAGGTACTGGTGCCCCAGCGCCATTGTACAGCCCTCACACGGGAGCTGGCCCCAGTGTGAGGTAAAGTCCCCTGCAACCACTCTGGGGGGTGGTGGGACTAGCCCAAGGCCAGCTGCAGCCACAACAGGACCACCCATGGCCACACCGGGCTACCCCAGGGCCAACAGCGACCACACTGGGACAAGACGTGGTCAAGCTGGGACAGACTGGGGCAGGCAGGGACGGTGACACTACAGTGTGACCACCGAGGGCATCACCGGGGCCGCCACGGGCTGCACTGGAGTGATCTGGACCGCCGTGGGGTGCACTGGATCCAGCCCAGGGGAGCCCCACGGCCGACTGAGCCCCGAAGGAGAGCGACGACCGCCCCGAGCCACCGGCACCACCTCCCGCTCCCCACACAGCGGCGTTCCACCCCTTGCCCCTTCGCCAATCACAGCACGGCCCCGAGATGCCAATCATCGGCAGCTGCCAATCGGATGGCCGCGGGGGCGGGCCCTCAGCGGAAGCAAAGAGTCCTGGCGGCTGCGGGGCCGCTCTGTGAGTGCCGGTCCGGCGGCAGCTCCGGCAGGGTACGGTTCCGCGCTGGTCCCTGCGGCAGCGTACGGCGGGACACTGCACCGCACCGCACCGCACCGCTCCCTACGGCACCGTATTCCGCCATACGGCATCGCACCCCGGGGCGCCGCAGCGCCCGCGTCCGGCGGGGCCATGATGGCGTGTGCCGAGCTGCTGGCTGTGTGCCTGCTCTCTGCCAACCGCGGCCCCGCGCCCCGCCGACAGCCGCTCCCCATCTTCCACGACGTGAGTACCGGCGGGGCGGGCCCGCTGCGGGACCCGGTCACACCCCCGGGGGTGGCGGGGATCAGGCGGCCGCCGCGCTGCCTCCTTCGCGGGTGGCGTTGGGGTGCCCCGGCGGTGACTCGGGGTGGGTCGTGGTGTGTTAGCGCTCGGCGTTGTGTCCTGCTCAGTGATGGGCCTCTGCGTGGCTGCAGTCAGCCCGCTCCTTCCCCAGCGCTGGTTGTGGCGGCTCCTGGAGCCGTGGGAGGGACTGTGTAGCTGTTCAAAGCTGTGGGACCCCAGAGGCAGAGCGTGTCCGTCACCCACTGCAGCTCCCATCCCTGCTCGCTGTGAAGGTGCCAGGAGTTGTGGTGGAAGATTTGCCTTGTGGAGGTTGGAGGTCGGCGTACTGGTGGCTGTGGGTGGCTTGGGGGAGTTGGAGATGCGGATGGTGGCTGTTGTCTTCCTCAGCAGACAGGTCCAGGCACAGTGTCTCCCATCACAGTGCGTCCCCTCGAGCCCTGTGGCCCGGGTGCTGCTGCAGAGAGGGAGCTGTGCTCTGGGATGGGGCTCTGGGGGAGGCAGCACCTCTGCTCTGTGGCATCGGGCATACCTGGCCATCTCTCAGGGCAAGTGGCACAGCCTGGGTCAAAGCCCACCCCTGCTGTTGGAGCACATCAGAACTGCTCAACCCTCCTGCTCCCGGCAGTCTTCTGTGAGCTGCAGGGTGCCTGGGTAAGGTGGGCAATGCCTGAACCTCCCTGGAGAGCCACCAGCCCTTGTGTTCCCCGTGTCCAGCACCCCGGGGGTCTGGAGTCACGCAGTGGAGCTAAGAACACGCATGAGTGGAGGTGCTGCCCCTGCCCTGACATAGGGACCAGGGAGGAGAAAGCAAGCAAAGGGGTAAGGGTGAGGGTTAGTGTGGTGCCCCAGCACCCCGAGAGCCCAGGTGCTGGCTGTCATCTCCATTCTGTCCTGGTCTGTGTGGTGCCACCTCTGTGTCCCAGTTCATCCCGGAGGAGGGGAGCAGATCTCAGGCAGACTTAGGGAAGATGAATGGTGTGGTTCTCCGTCAGGGAGATCTGGCATCCTCAGGGACCAGGTGGAAAGCACGGCTCATGGCCACACAGCTTCCAGCTGGGGGTCAGCGTCTCTCTCCTGCCGTGGGGAGGTTGCAGACCGCAGGGCTTTCCAGCCAGCGTCATTAACTGCGCTAATTACTCGGCTGAAGGAAGAGGGGCTGGAGGGGGGTTGGTGGTGACAGCTGTGTTCCAGCTCAGCCCCTCAGGGCACCGCTGAGTCCCACATCCATCCCTCAGGGCGTCATTAAGGCAATTAAAATGGGAAGTGTTAACAGCAGTAGCGGTTCTGGCGGCTTCCCTTCCGCTTCCCTGTGGCTCCCGTTGCTCCCGCCTCAGCTCCGGAGCTTCGCAGGGGGAGTTTAGTAGCTCTGCTTTAGTATCTGGTTCCAACTTCCCCCCCCACCCCAGGCTGGTCAGGGCAGCGGGAAGGCAGAGCTGCCCATGACAGATCCCGGGTGGCAGCTCGTGCTTCCCCTGGGATTGTCTCCCTGCCTTCAGGAGGGGTGAGGAGGAGGAGGGCTTTGCCGGAGACGCTTTGCTGCAGGCGCGGTACGAGCTGCAGTGCTGCCATCGCAGTTAGTTTCCCTGTGCAGACATCTCGAGCCTCTTGGAGATTTGTCCCCCAGGCTGGTGCTCAGGGTTAGCTTAGTCCCCTCTCGGGGCACGAGAGCTTAAGCAAAGCCCCTTGGACAACCCCGGTTACCGCCGGAGCCTGGCTGCAGCCCGCACTGTGTCCCCAGGGTGGCTGTCCCTCGCCATCAGCTGCCATGTCCCTGGCTGCGTGTCCAGTAGCTGCGGTTGCTTCCAGCCCTGCAGGCAGGAGAAGCCCTGTCATGTCCTTCCTGCCGGCGTGAGGGGGTTCATCCCCCAAATAAACGCCATTCAGTGCTGCTCCATCGGTCCCAGTGTGCCTGTCAGCGCAGGCACTGAGCGGCGCTGCGGCTGCTCAGACCCAGGGGCCGGGGGCTAAGGGGAACGTCTCGGGTTTGAGGCAGTGTCCCTGTGTTTCTGAGGCTGCCGGGCCCCGAGTGCAAGTGAGGGATTGCCCGCAGTGCCTCTCCTGATCCCATTCCCAGCCTGCCTTTGCATCGCTTTTCCTTGGCTTAGTCCCAAGGCTGCCCTCTGCGCCGGGCTCTTGCGGCGAGAGCAGCACTTACCTGCCATTGCCGTGCGTGTGTCTGCCCATGGCAGGGGCTTGGAACCAGATGAGCTTTAAGGTCCCTTCCAGCCCAAACCAGGCTGGGATTCATTCTCTATGCCTGTGCTCTGGGGACGGGGTCTGGGGGTCGCTTTGTGGAGTGTGGAAGCTGCTCTGTGCTGGTTTTGCCTGGCTGCAGTTGGATCCTGCCTTGTGCACAGGAGCCAGCGGGGCTCTCCGAGGCACCCCTCTGCAGTGGGGTTGGCTGAGGACGGACTCGCTGGAGGTGCTGAGGAGCGCTGCTGTCCCTGGGGAGCATGGAGCAGATGTGGCCCTGCCTCACAGGGCTCTCTGCTTGTGCCACGTGTGTTTATTCTGAGCTCCAGGCTTTTCCAACGCACTGCTGGAGCACAAGATCCCGGGCACAAGGGAGCAGCATCAGCTCTCTTTGCTGAGGTTCCTGCTGAGTCCAGGATGGGTTCACCCTGGATTTGAGACCTTCTCAGGGATCCCCCAAAAACTGTGTCGTCCCTCTTAGCCTGCAGACAGACCCTGCTGAGCAAGACCAGCCTGTGAGTGGGACATGTTTGGCCTCACTTGAATCTCCATTTAAGTGCCTGGGTGACATTTTGCTGTCTTTGGGGTGTGCTAGCTGGCTCAGTGACACTTGGAGATGTCACTGCATGAGCTAGGTGTCCCTTCAGTGACAGAGAGCTCTGCAGGATGAGGCTTTTGCCTTGGCAGAAAGCAGCATGCCCGAGGCAGGGAGGTGTCAGGGTGACACAGGCACATGGGACACAATGGTGCTGCCAGGGAGCCCTGGTGTGTGTAACCCTGTGGCTGTGAGACCCCTGATGCACATGAGAGCCCCTTAGCCTAAAGAAAGTTGCTTTAAATCCCAGAGAACACCCAGTGTGTGGGAGCTGCAGGATCCTGTCTTGGCTGGTAGAGGTAAAGCTCCAAAGCGAGTCCTGCGAGGCATTCAGAGAGCCCCTGCCCTCTTTCTTGCACAGGCACCAGCCTGGCTGCTGGAAGCTGGTGTCCTGGAGGGATGGTTACCTAACAGTGCTCCACTCCCTGCAGCAGCTCGGGCTGGTGGGAACTTGCCTTGCTTAGGAGAGCATCCTTCAAGGCTGTGTCCCTGCTTCTGGTTTCAGTCATGGGGAAGGACCAGAGAGCTCCCTGCTGGGACCAGCACCAGGAAAGCCTCTGCCCAAGTTGCAAGCCAGTGGCTTCCTGAGGTGCGAGCAGCAGAGGCTTCCCTGGGCAGCTCTTTCTTTACCTCAAAGCGATTCTTCAGGGACATTTCAGTGGCTAAATATGGGCTTGTGGCCTCAAAGCACGCAGCAGAGCTGGTGGTGAGTGGTGCAGAAGGGAGCTGGGGGTGGAGGGGGAGCTGGCAGTGACACGTCTTCCTGCAGCAGGGAGAAGAGCTGCTCTGGGGGTGGCTTGATCAGCGCCCTCTGCTTTGCAGGTGCATGGAAAAGGATACAACAAAGCCCACTTTCCCCTTTTCCTGCCTTTTTAATTCCTCACCTTTCTTCAGAACTTCAGGTTTCTTTCTCAGCCAGGATGATTAAAAAGACAAAAGTTGCCATGCACACAACTGTTGTTGGCTTCGTTAGGATGTGCCAGTCAAAAGCTCGTACTGTTTGGTATGGCAAGGTGTTCCCAGGCTTTGGAAATGATGCCGTTCCTCACTGGAGTCAGTCCCAGACCTTCTGTGAATTCCTGATGAAAGGGGAGCCAGGCAGGGATAAGAAGCCCCAGCTTTCTCCTGGGCTGCGGGCAGAAGCCTCATGGTTGGGAACCTGGGTTGAGACCCTGAGCTGGAGCAGCTGTGCTCTGGGGCAGACTTGGTTACAGAATAATGAAATCATTAATTATTAATTACAGTGTGTGTGTTGCAGGAAGGGGTTTGTGAAAGGTGATTAAAAAGTGCAGGACAAGAGCTGCTCCTCGGTGCAGACACTTGGAGTGTCAGCGGTGATGCACAAAGTGCTCCCATTATGGAGTGGTTTGATGCTTAATGTTCTTTCATTTAAAGGGTCTGAAAAATTAAACACTTTCCATCAGGAGGCTGTAGCAAAGCCCTTTCTACTGCGTCTCCCTCTACGTGCTCTAAAAGATGCTCAGTGTGAGTTCTGGGCCGCTGTGCCCAGAGCTTTGCGCACTGAAAGCAAGAAATGGGTTTGGTTGTTCCCAAAGGGGGTGTCCCAGTACAGCCCTGGCACTGGATGCTCTCGGTGGCTCCCCGGCAGGTGGGTTTCCCATGGTGGCAGTGCTGGGTGCCCCTGGCTCTCTGCTCAGCAGCAAGGAGCCAGTGCTGCCTCACTAAACCCTCTCCTGTTTTCTCTTGCAGATCTTCCGGCGAGCTGACAAGAATGGTGAGTGCTCTGTTCTGGCACTGCTGGTCTGGGTGAAGCAGCACAGCCCATCCCTGCTGCCAGGTTTGGCTGCAAGATTGAAGCAGGATAAGGGCAAGCAGCTCTCTGGCTGCAAGAAAAATGCTTTGATGCTTTACCTGGAGCAAAGGGTTGGGAAGTGGGCTCCCAATTCACTGTCCATGTAGGACAGAGCCCTTCCCAAGTCCTACTGTGGCCTGCACGCACATGATCTCTCATGTGCACTGCTAGCCCAGGGGCCATCAGGCTTCTGCTCCATCCCTTGCAGGATGGATTCAATCTCTGCGTCTGATCAAAATGCAGCCTAGGAGCTGAAGTCCTCCTTAGAGGGGAAGGAAAAAGCTCAGGAGTCAATGGAGAGCTTTTCTTTCCATAAAAGCCTGATGCTGTCCTCGCTGTGCTGTTTGTAATGGACTCTCCTTGGACAGTCATTGAATTACAGAGTGTCTGCATCCCTTTCTTTAACCATTGCAGTGATATCTCTCGGAAGGGGCTGAAATTCCCACCTGCAACTCCAGCAGCAGTGGCCCTGCTTGCCAGCACTGCTGGGGTTTCAATGGGGACTGGTGGGACATGCCTTCAATGCAAGCTCTGCTTTAATTACTATGCACAGCATGCCCGAGCGGCCCACGCTCCGGGTGGAGAGGCTGCTGGGAGGATCACTGGGGCCTGGATGCTGCTTTCTGCAGATATATAATTATTCTTCCCTTTTATTTTCATGCAGATGATGGGAAGCTGTCGTTTGAGGAGTTCAAGAACTATTTTGCTGATGGGATCCTGAGCTCGGAGGAGCTGTGGGAGTTATTCAGTGGCATTGACAGGCGTCACTCAGAGTAAGTACCATGGTGGCACAGAGGAGGGGAGATGAAGGGGGATATAGAACTGCTTGCCTGTATAGGGAGGACATTTGGAGGCGGGTGTGATAAATAGGTTTATCTCACCCTGACTCTCTCTTGTAACACGCAGATGTTAAAACCCATTGAATACCAGCTATGAGCATTGGTGAGGAGAGAAACCAGACATGTTGAAGCCAGTCATTCTCAGATTCACTCTAGCTCTGTAAATACAAGCATCCATTTAAGATTACATTTCATTAGCTTGAAAAATGTCTTCCAGAAAAGCACAGCTCTCTAGAGCAGGTTGTGTCTGCAGGAGGAGCGTGTGATGGTGCGAGGACGATGCACAGACTGTGCAAAGTCACAGGCTCTGCCACTGCTAACACAGGGAACTGCTTTTCACTTACGTAAGAGCAGCTTTGCACCGGGAGTGGCTCTGTGAGTGTGACTTTGAATTTAGGCCAGCTTCTTTTAGAAAAAGAAACCCCCAACGAACAGGAGCCGTGGTTGCACTGAGCCCTTTTCTCCTCTTGCTGGTGCTGTCTGGAGGAGTCTGTTGGGCTTGGCTGGGTTTCTCATCCCAGTCATTTGGGTACTGGCCTTCCTGGGTCCCTCTGTCCTGCCAGGGCTGTGACCCAGTGGGTTTTGGCACTGGAAGAAGCTGGCTGTTGATGAATTTCTTGTCTATTCAAATGGAAGGGTGCTGTGCAGGGGGAAAGTGGCTGCAGCTTCCTCCTGATTGCGGGTGGCAGGCTCAGCCCTGGCACCACAGGAAGCTTTTCCTGCCCCTCTCTGATGCTCCTGTCCAGGGCAGTGTCTGAGCAGGTCCCTGCCAGGCAGAGGTGACTCTCGGCAGCCGTAGCTGCACACACTGGTCCCAGGGCTTTGCAGGGAGCCAGGGCAGTGGCACAGAGGACCCGTGCCACTCTGAGATGCCAACAGCCACCAAATGTCACTGAACCACTGACAGCGGATACCCAGCGGTCCCTGGCTGCAAGGGACCCGCATCATCCACCCAGGGCTGGTGGCTTGGGGATGGTTGACTTCTGCTGGGTGTTTCATGGTGGGTTGAGCTGATGCTCCCACTGCCATGATGGGGCAGAGAAGTGGGCTGGTGTGTGCAGCCCCTGTTGCCACTTGCTTTTAAGCCTGTTGCAGCCTGTCCTGGCAGCTGCTTTTGTTGGATATGGGCAGCACGAGGAGTCTCCTGAAAATCCTTTTTTCTCTTTGGGCTGTGATCCCAGGGAGTCAGCAATGAGCCATTCTCCTTCCTCTGCAAAAGCTCCTTTCTTCTCACTCCATTTTTGGGTGACCTTGGAGTCACTCCCCATACACAGCACTGGAAAACACAGACTGCAGCAAAGCAAAGTCTGAACTGTGCTGTTTACTGACTGATGAAGACCTCCTGGTTTACCACTGCTATCAGGCTGGGCTGCTTCTGTCTGTCCAAAGCAGATGGACAGGGCTGATCCCAGAGCCATGCCCAGCCATGGTGACAGTGGTGCTCCCTAGAACTCATTACTGTAATGATGGTGTGGTAGCTATGATAACTTGGCAGTTGCAGTGTTTTGCTGGTGACATCTATTAGCAAGGTGTATTTCTGTCCTTGGCTGGGGCATGGTCCATGCACACGAGTGCAGGGTCAGTGCATGGGACTGCCTCAGTGGGAGCAGGCAGGAGCGGGATGGGGACTGGGAGATGGCAGCAGGGAACTGTATGTGATTTCTTCAGCTTCATCTCCAGCTCGTGGAGGCAGAGGAGGAGTTGGGACCCCGCAGGGAGGGAGCCTGGCATGCAGGCTCTTGTCTGGTAAGAGGCATCCTACCCCCTGCAAACAATGTGGGGCAGCACTGACTGCCAGAGCGCTCTGATCCTGACCCAGAGCTGCCGGCCTGATGGGACAAGGGACTGGGAGAGACAGTCCCCAGGGAGACATGACCTGTCTGTGCCCAGGGACTGCACAGCAGCATGTAAAGGAAATCAGCACGCTGAGGGCTCATAGAAGTCTCTGGCTCTGTGTGTAGAGCTGGAGTTTCTGTAATTTGTTTTGGGGTGTGCATGGGGACTTGCTCCTTTACAACCCCTACTGTCTTGTAAGGGCTGTGCTGGTGTCCCGTTGTCCACTTGGCAGGGGTTGTTCAGCCCCTTGCCCCAGGCTGCCTGCTTGCCTGACACCTGTAGAGCTGGCTGAAGTTTGCTGCCAGATTCAGGAGTTATTACCTGAGGTAATACTCCAGTATTGTGAAGCTGGAAAGCAACTACAAGCTCTACAAGCTCTACAAGCAGATCTGGTGTGCTCCTTTCATGTCCCATAGCTTTCCCGATGATGGGAAAGTTTCACCCTTAATCCAGTGGGTGGATTTGGCACAGAGGTGCTGTATTCATCAGGTCTAGGCTGAAACTTGTGTTTCTTTGTCAGTGCCAACCTGATCCAAGCAGAGACAGTAACAGAGACCTTCATATCCAGGCACTCTCCGTGGCTGGGTAACGGAACACAGCCCAGACACGTCCTGATCCTCACCCATCACTGCTTCCCTGGGCCCTGGAGCTGACATCTGGGAACATGAGTGTTTCCGAGGTCTCACACATCACTTGTTCTCCTTCCAGAGAGCCCATGGCACCAGCCCATGGCAGCGCACTCTCCTCCTCTCCCTGCCCTTCCAACCCGATCTTTGCTCCATCTCCCAGCCACACAGTGCCTGGGGGGGGATGCTGTGGCCTGTGCATCAGGCACTTCATGGGGTTGGGTTCAGCTTTTATATTTCCCCACCAGGCTTTTTTGTTCTGTGTTTCTGGAAAGTGTTCTATTTGGCTTCAGACTATCTCTGTGATCTAATTCTTTGATGTTTACAAATTCAACCCTTCCTTGCCATTTGGTACCACAGCTAGGTCCACTGTTTAGTTTAGCGTGGCAGGGAGCCCCACACTGTTGCAGACAGAAAGATTCATCTGCCTGGAAAAGTGCATTTTCATCCACTGAAACATCTGGGTGAGAGGAGACAAATGTTTTTGAAGGGATGAAGGAGTCCTGTTGCTGCAGAAGCATCTTGGGAGATATCAAGCACAGTTTGCTCCCTGAGTCGCTGTGTGTCTGCCTGCTGCCTGCCCGGAGGGGTGGCAGCAGAGCCCAGGATCTCATGGAACCGCTTAGCAGAGAGTCACAGAATCCCAGCCTGCTTTGTGTTGGAAGGGACCTTAAAGCTCATCCAGTTCCAACCCCTGCCACGGGCAGGGACACCTTCCACTAGAGCAGCTTGCTCCAAGCCCCTGTGTCCAACCTGCCCTTGAACACTGCCAGGGATGGGGCAGCCACAGCTTCTCTGGGCACCCTGTGCCAGCACCTCAGCACCCTCACAGGGAAGAGCTTCTGCCTAAGAGCTCATCTCAGTCTCCCCTCTGGCAGGTTCAAGCCATTCCCCTTGGCCTGTCCCTACAGGCCCTTGTCCCAAGCCCCTCTCCACGTTTCCTGCATCCCTTTAGGCACTGGAGCTGCTCTAAGGTCTCCCCTTCAGGAGCCTTCTCTTCTCCAGGCTGACCCAGCCCAGCTCTCTCAGCCTGGCTCCAGAGCAGAGCTGCTCCAGCCCTTGCAGCATCTCCGTGGCCTCCTCTGGCCTCGCTCCAACAGCTCCAGGTCCCTCTTGTGCTGCTGCCCTAGAGCTGGATCAGGGCTGCAGGGGGATCTCACATCATCGTTACAGATGGCTCTATACTGGATGCTGCAGTGCTGTATAGGTTGTGTGTCATGTTTGCAGAGGACTCTGAAACCTGCCTGGGGGCAGCTGCAGGGACCTCGTGTGTTTTTCTGTCCTCATGTTGGGAATACTTAGAAAACTAAGGTCTGGCAAATCCTGCTTTGCGTGACAGTGGTCAGGTGATGGTGGCAGGAATTGGGTGCAGGCTGCCGGGAGCCTGTGTGTGTGTGATCTTGAGCCACAAGTAGAAGAGGTGAGGGTGCTGTTAAAAACTCTCGGTGGAAGTAACCTCAGGCTTCTGGTTCTGTGGAAGAATGGACTTGGGTGAACTTTGCTTCCCTCTCGTTAGTCAAAGACTTGGAGACTCTGACTAAAGTCTGTGCCTGATGGTGAGCGAAGCACTGGGTGCAGTGATGGCAGCAGAGTGATGGTGATGGCACCAGAGGTTCCCAACACGGTAAGTGGTAAATAGAAAAACTTCCCATCTGCTTTGCTGAGCTGATTGCTGTTTTCTTGCATAAATTCCAGGCACATTCTCACTAAATCCCAACAGCATAATGATGATAAGATCCTTCATCATCAGTTCAAGCTTAATTACAGTTAATCAGTGGTTTGAGCACAGTCAAAATACAGCTATGTGGAAATGTGGAGAGGCTCAGGATGAGTGTTTTGGAGGCAGAGGATGGCTCTTCTCTTGGACTGGGAGAGGGGATGGATGGCAGGGAGAGGAGTGGGGCAAAACCTGTTGCAGCCCAGCAAAATGGGTTGGGATTGGATGTGCAGTTCTGGTTTCTGCTGTGAAGTAGCTTCTGGTAACGCGAAAATGGCATCATCAGTCCTGTGCTTTGCTTGCAGTGCTCTGTCCTGCCCTGAACTGCACCCTAGGCTGCTGTGGGATGTGGGAACAGGTGTCCATGCAGGGCTGTGGATGGAGCAGGCTGCACTGGGAAGGGAGCACATCTTCCACTGGACAACTCCCCAAGCACTGTCTTCTGCCCCAAGTTCAGTCTTCAGCTGTTCCCCGGTTTAGTGGTTATTAGTTGCTTGGTTTTAAGCAGCAAACAGACAAGATGGAGTTATTGATGATCTCCAGGCTCTCCTTAGGGGCCACAGGGTTGGTGGTGATTGTAGCTCATTGTCACATGGATGGATGCCTGCTTGCTGGAGCCAAGGTGGGGGATGAGGCAGTGGGCTGAGCTGGTGCCACCTTCTTTCTGGTGACGCCAGCCCCAGGGTCTCACTGGGGACAGGTGCAAAAGGCTGGATAACGTATGCATTGGGTATTTCACAGCGTGTTTTATCTCACGTCCATATCCCCTCTTTGGTGACTTTTACCTGTCTCTTGGCTGGGAACCAGTGGCTGCAGTTCCTATTCCAGCTCACGGGTCTCACAAGCAGTGCTGTGGATGCTGCAGTGCCAGGTCACTGGTGGCAGTGCAGCAGCAGCAGCTCTGCAGGCTCCAGGCAGCTTTCAGGAATCAGTGGGAAAATGAAGAAGGAGCAAAGCATTTTTCCAGTCAAAACTTGTGCTTCAAGCCCCGGTCACTCCATCCAGCAGAGCTGGGATCGGGTGCATGGAGCTGCTTGGAGAAGGGATGGGCAAAGTCTGATGAAGTGGAGGCGGCAGAAGAAGGGGCTGTGACTTTGCTGATTTATCTGTATTGCATCCCAAGGGAATCACTGTTTGTTTTCAGCCACTTTCAAACCTGTCTGCAGTGCCAGGACAGTGCGCCAGCGAAGCAGCTACTGCAGTAGGTGCTGGAAACAGAAGAGCCAAATCAATTCCTAAACCTGCCTGTCTCCATTGCCTGAGAAGGCGCTTGGTGCCCAGCAGAAAGATACACAGGAACCAGCCTTTGATGCCTGGGGGAGAAGCTGTAGGAAGATTTTGCTTAAATTATACCTGTTCCTGGCATGGGATATTGAACACTTTGCACACTCTCCTCTAATTGTACCTTGGGGTGCTTTTACCCCTTTGCCCTGTGAGCAGTGTCAGAAGGGACATAGGGTGATATGGCATTGATTTGGCTTCCCCTGGGCAGTGTCACTGCTGCTGTCCTCGTGCTTGGAGCCCAGCAAACTCCAGGTTATCACCAATTCCTCCATGTGTGACAACACTTAAAGTCTCTTTCATGCTCTCTTCCACTTTTCCAATCAGGATTAGAACTGGTTGTAATCATCATGGGGATTTTGAGACAGCAGAATGTCTTGAGTGGAGGCTGATTTGAATACATGATTCTGTGGGGCATTTCCCTGCAGGCTCTGCAGGGATGCTGGGCATCGCAAGCGGCTCTGCCTTCATGCTTTGGCCACCTGAGCAGATCTGACTTCTTCATGCAAACCCACATCCCATCCAAAAACATGTGGCTGTTTTCTCCTCCCTCTCCACCCCAGCAGCACCTCTGTTAGTAACAGGATGGACCTGTCCAAGCCCTGCAGAGATGCCAGCATTGACTCTCCAGTGCAGTGCTCTCTGTTACTGAAAAGGGGTGGGGGGTTGGACCCAACCTCCAGGATTTTTTTACTTGGATCCCTGTTTTAATGGCCTTTACATCAGGAACAACCCCTCTCGTGGGCTGTGAAGCCATCCAGGGAAGGGGAGGAGCAGCCATGGGGCAGGCAGGAGAGGAGGGGGCCTGTGCCATGGGGCAGCCAGCGGTGAGGATCTGGGCTGAGGTAAAGGGGGACAGGAGGAGGGAGACCTGGCCCTTTCCCACACCTCTGGGAGCAGAGGTTGGGTGGAGGAAGCAGCTTCTGGGGCTCATCAGCTGCAGGGCACAGAAATGGGGCTGCCTCCCCTCCATCCCATCCCCTTCCTGCTGTCACTGGCACTTTCCCAGCACACTCCATCTCCAGGAGATGTTTGTGGAGCAGCTTCGTTTGCTCCTTCAGCTCCTGGAGCAGAAGTGATGCTCTGCAGCCCTGCCTGGGTGATGCTGGGGCTGAGCACAGCTCCTGAGCTGCTGCCTCTAAGCTTGGGCAGCTTTTCCTTTTCCTAGTAAGCAGTCAGGACAAGCCCTCGAGGCCCTGCTCACTACAACTGCTCTTCCCAAAGCAGCCACCACATCTAACAAGAGCTTGTTTCTCTTTTCTTGCAGTAACGTGGACACGGAGAAATTGTGTGGTGAGTAGAGCGATGTTCAGAAGGGTTCCTCTCTTGAGGGTCTGTGGTGGGGCTTTGTGCACGTCTGACCTGGGCAGTCAAGTGGCGTTTGACAGTCCTTGTGCCTGAATCCCAGAGGGCATCCATGCTTTTCCCAAGGGGAATGGGATAAATTGTCCCTGGGGTAGGAGAGGACTCTTTCATTCCAGCCGAGGTGGGATCTTGACTCTGGGGAGACAGGGCTGGGCTGTCTGTGGGAGGCAGCAGGGGCAGGGCAGGCAGAGATGGAGTCTGTGGCCTTCTCACTGTGCTCTTCTCTCCTGCTCCAGATTATTTCTCAGCGTATCTTGGAGAATACAGGAATGTGCTTTCTGCCCTGGAAGCCCTCAACTCTGCGGTCCTGGCAGCCATGGACAAAACCAAGCTGGTAAGGATGGAACCACAGGAGGGTGGTGGGGCAGGCGGGTTGGTAACAGAAGCTGTGGTGATCTTGGCTTATTTAGGTTCAGCTTGGGCACCAGAGGCAACAAATGTACCTCTCAGAACCCTGTGTGTGCTTTGGGTGTCTGCAGCTGTGGACTACTCTACTGGAGGAGAGGGAGCTGTGCTGGAGGAGAAGGGCTGAGCTGGTGCTTTTGTGCTCTGCCGATGGCTTCTTCCTCACAGGGCTCTGCCAGGGGTGGTTTCAACAGCTCCTTGCAGACCACTTGCAGCATCCTGCCTGGGAATGCTGTTTCTGGGAGCATCGCTGACAATCTGTGTTGTGTCTCTGAGCCAAAGCAAGGTCTTTACCACCAAGCACTGTGTGTGAAATGAGGACACTGGGGTTCAGGTGCTCTAGGCTGAACAGAGAGGCGCTTGGGAGCAGGTAGGGAATGATGAAATTCATTGACTCCCAGCCTGGTGCCAAGTTCATCCCTGCAGTGAATGCTCTGCCTCTCCGTGCAGCTTGGGCTGATGGCAAGCAGACTGGAGGCTGCTAGTGAAGGCGAGCAGCCTCCTGCTTTGTGAGCCCTGAATGGAGAGCAGCAGTGTGCAGCCTGTGGGCTAAATACAGCTGTGAACAAGCAGTGGCCAACACTGGAGGGCGACCCTCCTGGGCCCCCTTTGCATCTGAAATGTGTGAAATGGTTTAGCCATGTGCCTGGGGCTGATGCTGTGTTAAGCTGTGGGAAGGGCCAGCCCTTGCTTTCCCTTCAATGGGGTGGTTTGGTGCCTGTGGGAAGTGGATGAAGGGCATCAGCCACGTGCACACTGCCCTATTGATGGAACAGAGAAGTGAGAGGGGATGTGGTCCCTCTCGCAGCTCTGCAGGGTCATCCAAGTGGTGTTTGTGCCTCTCTAGTGTCAGTCAGGATTGTGCTCTCTCTGAGTGTTCCTTTGGCTCAATCCAGCCTCAGCAGCATCTCCCTGTTCATTGGGAAATGCTATGCAGGAGAGGGGATCACTTGAAAATGCATTTTTCTCTTTGCTTCAGCTGCCCAGCTCCCTTCACAGTTATTAAACGCAAGCCCAGAGGGAGGGAATTAATCCTCTTCAGAGCTCTGCTTTATTTGTGTTCTTTTCTGCTTTGGCCTTTTTGATAATGAATTTGTGTATTTATGTATATCTCCAAAGCGGAGTTGCTGCCTGCTTCACAGTATTGCCATGATGCATTCATTCCCTTCACAGGCACATACTGGCCTTCCTGGAAAGCATCTCCCCGTGCTTCCCTGGTCCGTTGGGCTCTGAGCAGGGAGCAGGAGAGGGCAGTGCTCCAAGCCTGCGGTCAGGGCTCTTGCAGAGCTGTGGGGAATCTGTCGCTGTTAGGGGCTGGCAGAGGTGGCAAATGCTGTGTTCTTACCTGCTGTGACCTGCATGTATTCCCATGTTTGTATTTCCAGAATGGGACTTGGTCTCGGGTTATTATGGGGTTAGTGGGTTTGTTAGGTTGGGTTTTAGCCAAAGCTCACACCTCTCAGTCTGCCCCTCACTTCTGTTAATTCCAACACCTCTGACACCACCATGGCTGAGGACTGAGAGCCCCAGTTTGGCAGAGACCTCCCTCCTGGAGGAGATGCCTGAAGCTTCATCCTGGGGAGCAGCTCTTACTGGAGGTGCAGTCGTGCTGGGCAAACTGGAAGAGACCTGCCTGCTCCAACAGCCCTTACCGTAAAGCTCTGCTTCCAGATCCATCCATGGAGCCAACAGATGTTGGCAGATGTGGAGCCAATAACTGGATCTATAGTCCCTGTCTGCTCTGCAAGACTCCCAGGGAGGCAGGGATCTCCAGGCTAGCTAGAAGGAGAAGGAGTTCTCTGAGCCAGGTCTCATCATTGAACTACAGCGTCTCTTGGTTAGGGCATGATCCATCTCTGGTAGTTCCTTACTCCTGGATAGGATCCTGCCACAGGATTGCCCACCCCTGCATCCTCCCGGAACTTTACCCACAGCTGTAAATAGGCTCATGTAAATAGGAGCTCAATTTGGAAGCAGGGAAACAGAGATCATGGGCTGCTTTGTTAGCACAACAAAAGCAGAGAGTGGGAGATGCTCACACCATGCCAGGGCAATGACCTAAGGGGAGGAGAGAGGAAGGAAGCTAAAGCATGGGAAACACAAGCCAGGTTCATCCTTCTCACTGTGTAAGTGCTGCAGTTCCTGTAGGAAATAGTGTGTGTAGGCAGCAAACCTGCTCGTGACCTATTTTATGTCTCCATATGTGGGCCGGAGGAAACTGGATCGTTAGGGGTTCCTGTGCTCCCATCCTTCCTCACTGGGTTGGTAGAAACATGGTAAAGAAAAGATGCCTGTGCAAGAAAAGAGGTTTTTTTTTTCTCCAAATTCTGTTATTTCCACTTTTATGTGTAAAATACAGCTTGCTCACTGTGCTGCAGGTAACTGATTAAAGCTTATCTTGGGGTTAGGCTTTGTGTTTGCAGTATGATAGCATCCAAATAAGAAGTGAATAGAAGGGAAGCTGTGTGGAAACCTCAGAGCAGCTTCCCATATCTGAAGGGGGGCCTACAAGGATGTTGGAGAGGGACTCTTCATCAGGGACTGTGGTGACAGGACAAGGGGTGATGGGTTTGAACTGAAACAGGGGAAGTTCAGGTTAGATATGAGGCAGAAGCTCTTCCCTGTGAGGGTACTGAGGCGCTGGCACAGGGTGCCCAGAGAAGCTGTGGCTGCCCCATCCCTGGCAGTGTTCAAGGCCAGGTTGGACACAGGGGCTTGGAGCAAGCTGCTCTAGTGGAAGGGGTCCCTGCCTGTGGCAGGGGTTGGAGCTGGATGAGCTTTAAGGTCCCTTCCAACCCAAACTGTTCTATGATTCTATGTATGGTGGAAATACCTTGGGAAAGGGTCTGACATTTCTCACAGAGGACCTGTATGCTTAAGTCTTTCCATTCTCCGCTTTGCAGACACTGCAAACTAACCCATATATACCTCTCCAAGTCTTATTTCCCCTTTGGCAGGAGTTATGCAATCACCTATTCCATCCTGTCCTGAGCTTAATGATCATCATAAGAAACTAATAAAACCTCTCAAAAGCAGAATTACAGCAGCTCTTGGCAACTTTGGGGCTTTCACCTGGGCCAACAGAGCTGCAATTCCAGTCCATGACAAAAGCCTTGTCTCTGCTTGCAGAGGTGTTTCCTCCCTGACTCCGTTCCAGTGGTCTTTGCTGCGAGCAGAAAACGTGGTGCTCAGTGAGACGGAGCAGGTTGGCTTTGAGCCTCTGTTACAGAGGGGTTTGAAGGCAAAGGGGTTTGCTTGTTTGCCCCAGAGCGAGGAGGGGGCCGGGCAGCTGAGCTGAAGGGAAGGTGCATTTTCCAATGGATTCCCTCTTCTGGCATGAGATTTTCCAAGCGGGGTTCAGAGCTCTCCTGGGAGATGGTTATTTCCATCCTCTCTCGGGCACGCTCCCCTGGGGGTGCTGTGTCTGCCGAGGCGAGAGAGGAGGCAGCTGCTCGTCGTGTGCAATGCTGGCCCCAAACATTGACGTGTCCGTGTGGGATCCTGCTCTGCCCTTGGAAGTGGGTTGGGATGTGCTGGGACTGGGAGGATGGGGAGCTTCAGAGCCGAGCAGAGTGTGCCCTGGGCTGGTAGGTGGGTTTGGGGGTGGCTGGTGCCTGGGTTTGGGGTGCAGGGACTGCAGTGGGGTGAGCGGTGGGGCTCGGGACAGGTTGTGGGAGCAGCTGCCTGCTCCTGTGATAGAGCTGCATCTGCAGAGGACATGAGGATCAGGCCATGATGATGAAAGGGGAGAGGATGGGGAGTGCTGGGAGGCTGGCTTGGTGCCGGGGCTTCTCCCAGCACATGGCCTTTTGAAGGGGAGCGATGAACAGGAGAGGCATCCGGCCCCTGTGCAGGGGGAAGTGTCCATATGCCAAAGCTGTGGGGACCCCAGCGGGGGCTCAGGAGGATGCATTGGAAAAGGGAGTGAACCAGAGGCTGCTTGCTGTGGGAAGTGTCCTCTGTGCATGAAGAAGGGTGAGAGTGTCTGGATAGGGACCAGCTCCCAGAATGAAGCAGGCTGTGTGCAGCCATGCAGTGGATGAATGATGTATCCCCCATGAACCTCTGATCCTCTTCTGATCGTCTGCTGGTCTGGGTCAGTTCACTACAGCAGCAGCAGCGAGGGCAGGGGAGTGCTTTCCTGCCTGTTCACGGAGTTGAACCTGAACCTGCTCCCAAATCAACTTGATAGCAAAACCACAAAGCAGGAATTCTGTTCTCTGGTTCTCACCTGCTCATCCTCTGGACCCAGGGCTGCACCGCTTCAGTGCCTAGTCAAGAAACCACCTCCTGCAGTAAAGCTGCTGCCGTGCTGGTGCCGTGAGGACCTTCTGCTCCTCAGCTTAGCCCTCCTACCCCTGTGGCTCCCAGTGAACCTCAGGGTCCCACTGCAGTGATGGCTGGAAGGAGCTTTCCCCCTGGCTGGAGCAGCCCCTTCCCTGTGCACTCCAAAGGAGCAGCTCTGCTGCAGTGCTCTGGACGTGCAGCATCGGGGCCCGGCTGTACCAGGCAGTCAGCACGGCCTCGATTCACAGCAGGAGCTGTGGGTGTGTTGCCAGCACATGGGACACGTGCAGAGGAGAGTGATGGGATAGGCACAGAAATAACCCGGGCTGTCAATGAAATGCAGTTTACTTCTTTTGGAGCGATTGCATTGATTTTGCGTTTCTGCAGCAGCGCAGGAGCCGGCCCTGGGTCACCAGCACAGCTCTGCTCGGAGCAAGGCAGTGTGTTGGAGACCCTGCTCCTGCCCTGTGGTGGGATGCTCGGGATGCATCATCTGCCTACTGGAATATCCTGTGCACGTACCCAGCACCGTGCTCCTCGTACTCACCCTTTGCCATCCATGCCTGCTGGAAGGATGTGAGCGATGCTGCTATGGAGGCCCCTGCCCAGGCTGCTGTGCCCCTCTCTGGGCTGGCCAGCACCTGAATCTGGCAGCCTGTGTCTTGGAACAGGGCATTCAGCTCTAAGCACGTCCTCTCAGGAAAGCCTGGAAACATGGAGGAGCCCCCTGATAGCACAGTGTTACCCACCATGTCCCCCTTGGTGTGGTCAGGTACCTCCTGGAGGCTCTGCCGGGCCAAGTAGTGGAGCTTTGGTGGAGCAGCTCCGGTTGGAAGAGCGGCTCCGGGCAGTGGAACCGTTCCTTGTGCAGGGTTATACAGCGCCCATCGGGAGCCTGAAATCTGGCTGGGTGATGGAAACCTTGGTTCCGGAGGTCTCCTTCGTAGTCCGTGGAGACGTAGCAGCATTGCTTCTTCATCTGGCTCGCCGTGTTCCCCTTCAAGGGCTCGTTGGCACTGTCCGTCAGCAGGCTGTGCAGGTAGCTGCAGAGGAAGCCACCAGCCACCCCCAGGCGGTACGTGGCCTCCCGCTGTGTCCGCCCCAGGCACACGGAGGTGATGTGGGGACACTCCAGCCCCAGCCTCCACAGCCAGGCCCGTGACCCTGCCGTAGGCACAGAGGGAGAGGAACCCGGTGTTGGCACCCCAAAGTGCTCGAGAAGCACCTCTGCCCCCTTCTCCCTGTTGGTGGTGGGGCATGATGGGGAGTCAGCCATGAGCACTGCCTGCTGCTCTGGGGGAGCTCTCAGGCCGCAGGAGAAGAGGTGGCTCCATAGGTTTTTCATGCTGTCCCAGTCCTCAATGATGCCCTCCTTGAGTGGGTGCCATAGTGAAGCCTGCCATGCTTTCAGCAGTGCTGTGGTGCTGCTGGGCCTCCCGCGTGGTGCAAGCGCTGCAGGGGTGTAGGAACGTGGTCCTTAGCACAAACTTGGGCTTCTGCTGGCCTGCAAAGCCCGCCTGGATGAAGCTGCTGCCATTGTCAGTGATGACTGCAGGCTTTAGCATGGCAAAGTCCTGGGGGATGCTGGGGCGGGAGGAAGAGCCTCACCCTGCAGTGGGACAAGAGGAGTCCTGTGGGGGCAAGCCAGGCACTGGTACCTGCTCTGCAGGGGAGGCCCCAGTGGAGGTCAGCTGCCTGCTCTGGAGCTGCTGTCTGCCTCAGCCTTTCCTCCTTGCTCCCTGCCTCACTGAGCATCCCTCCTTGGGTACCTCATCTCCATTCCTGGGGGCATGGAGAGATTCTGGCCCTTGGGATGACCAGTGGTACAAGGGCAAAACTGCAGGTTGTTTTAAGGAAGCCAGTGAAAACTGGACCGGAAAGAGTGACTGGAGCAGGCTGCAGGGAATGGTGCAGCACCCACAGCGCATGGAAAGGAACAGGCCAGGCTTCAGGGGCTGTCAGGCACTCTCAGTGGGTGACATGGGGACAGGCTGTAGGGTGGCCCCGAGCAGAGGTGCACATCACAGGTTCAGCAGGGATCTCTTCGCATTGGAGCAGAGGCTCGGTGCTGCCTTCCCAAGGGAAGAGGGCACGAAGCCCCCCGCTGCCCTGTCCTGCCAGTGGTGGGTGCTCCCTGCAAGGGGCTGCCTGTGCATGGGGGACCACTGCAGGCTCAGCACCACCAGCCCTGTCCCAGGAGCCCCAGTGAGGGGGCAGGTAGGGAGCTCTGGGTGCCCCACGGCCCTCCCTTGAGCTGGGGGCTATTTCTACCAGTGTCCATTACCTTGTGGCTTGGAAGTGTCCATCTGTGGGCCCCTGACTCCTAGGCCAGGATGGGGTCATCGCGGTGCATTCCCTGCTCTGACCTCACCGGCACGCACCCCGAGGATGCTCGTGTCCCTCGGTGCCGTCCCTCCCTCCAGTAACTCCACATGTGGTTGGAATCCAATCCATTGGGTTTATTTAAGGCCAGCCCCTTCCATCTGAGGCATCTGACGGATCCTTACCCCTTCCCCGCAGAGGTACGAGAGCTCCTCGAAGATGGAGCAGTTCCTGACGCGGTTCCTGCTGCGGGAGACCCTGCAGCAGCTGCAGTCCCTGCAGGCCTCGCTCGAGTGCGCCGTGGACACCGTGGAGGAGCAGGCGGGACGGGAGAGGTAACGGGTGCAGGTCCTGCCCTGCCCATGGGGGTCAGTGTGGGGCAGGACCCACAGGTCCTGCTGGGAGGGACATCTGGGAGCAGGATCTGCCCTTTCCGAGCCTGCTGTGACCTGCCCTGCGCAGTGAATGACTTCAACCCCTCCTTTTGCATCTTATGCTTTCAGAAAGGACATACAGAAGCCTGAAACCTTGGTTGGGCTGAGGCCAGGGAGGCGATGTGGGCGCAGAGCACAGAAGAACGTCTGCCTGTCTCCGACAGACCCCTATTCTGGGATGCTAACGACAGGTATCCGCATCCCGGCCATCCCTCAGTTGGTCTCTGCCCCACTGGAGCAGGGGTGGGAGCAGCGGCATGGGACAGAGCCTGGACCACCTCACCCACATGCCCCTGGAGCTTCTGTGTGTGGATGTGGGATCTTGCGAGCAATGCGAAAAGTCTGAGCAGAAAAATCGGGGGTTTGGTTTAAATCGGGGGGTTAGAAGCTCCTGTGGTTTCCTGGGTCTTGAGCAAGCTTTTGCAATGAGCTCTCTCAGTGACATCTCTGCCCGTCCCCCCGCAGGCGTTTGTGTCGAAGACAACAGCCAGTGGATGGCGCAGATCAACCGGCTGCAGCAGCTCATCGAGAAGCTGGAGTGCAAGGTGTGTGTGTGCTGGGGCCTGCGGGTGGGTGCCCACAGCCTGCAGTTCCATCCTGGCACCCTGGCAGAGCTGCACCCGGTCACCAGACCCGGACCTGCAAAGCTGCTCATCCCCTGCAGTCTCCATAGCCCTGCTTTTCCCCCGGGGGGCTGTGGCTGACCCTCCTGCATGGTCTGTGCTGGTCTGACCATGTCAGTCTGGACCCACTGAGCCCCACAGATGAGCGGGTCTCATCCCAGTTCTCCCCCAGGTCCCCAAAGGAACACCCAGAGCGGTACCTGCTGAGCTGGGCTGTGGGTTACTGCGGGTTTTACCTGGTTGCAAAGCTCCCCAGGGATGATGGCTTTTCCTGTGGTTAAATGCAGAGCCCGCGCCTGGAGCCGCTGAAGGAGGAAGCGATGTGCAAAGGAAAAGATGCAGTAAGTTCCTGTCCTGTTCCTCTTGCTTGCAGTGACCCTGCAGCATGCACAGGTCCCCAGTCCCACTCACACAGCCCTCGGAGACTGGTGTTACTGGGGTGAGCTGCTGGCTCTGCACTGGCTGCCCGGCCATGCAGCGGGATGGGATCAGAGCTGGGAGCTGTGGGACCATCCACAGGGCAAATACAGCTCCATCAGGTGCGGGCAGTGCCCATGGCCAGCCCAGAGGAAGGCAGCTCCCCTTGTGAGTGCCCAGGTGCCCCAGGTTGCTCTGAGCACCCACAGGCGATGCAGAGCCCCAGTGCAGGGGTCCCAGGCCCATTTCACTGGGGCAGGACACAGTGAACAGCAGCAGCCCCAAGGCAGGGCCGTGCCACCAGGGGCAGGGGGGCACACGTTGTCCCTGGTGACACTGTTCCGCTGTCCCCCCGCAGCACATCCTGGTGGCCAAGAGGCAGATCTCGGTGGCAACGAGCAGCATCGAGGAGTTCTGCCAGGCCTTCAGGTCCTACACGGCGGGCACGGCCGGGCAGAGCAGCTGCCTGCAGTAAGTGCGTGGACACAGCATTGCTGGGGACAAGAAGGGGAGGGCTCTGTGGGCTTGGGGTGAAGTCTGTCCTAGCAGAGAGGCCCGGACAGCGCGGCAGTGTGTCTGCAGTGTCAGCCCATCTCCTGCTGCCGGTGCTCCCCGCAAGGACCACGGGTCAGCGCCGAGGAGGAGGGTGGGTGGTGGTGATTGGTTTTGTTGCCAGCAGTGGCTGTGGCAGCAACATGAACGTGTTCCTCCAGCACTGAAGTAATGGGGGGGAAGTCAAGGGGAGAGCTGGTGTCCGAGCCCTGCTTTGTGCTGTGTGTGGGTGCTGGGGGAAGGAGGAGCAACCGCTGAGTGGGACCAGAGCTGCGGATGGAGCCGGGTCTGGCTGCAGTGCACACCACTGCACACCACAGAGCTGCTCTTCCAGAGGTGCTTCCCTTCCCTCGTGGGACATTTTGAGTTGGGGATGTCCCCATTGAAAGTGTCATTTTTCAGCTCTTCAGTTCCAACAGCACAAAACCGCGTTTTCAGTGGGAACAAGGGGAATATCCTTGTTTTGGCACGTGTGGCACAGAGAACGGCAGGTTTTGTCCTCTGCAATTGATGCTGTTCTGGCAGGAGAACAATTAGTGCAGAGAGCTGGGTAGCATTGCACGGGCAGCGCTCTCCATGTGAGTGGAAAAGCTGGAGCGAAGTGCAGGGAGACTCCCGGGTCACAGCAGGGAACGTGGCCCCGGAGCTGGGCCCGTCCCTTCCTGCAGCAGCTGGAGGAAAGGCTCATCCTCAGCTGGAGCTGATGATGCTGCAGCCGGTGCAGATGGTTCCCTGCACCCCGAGCACTGCTCCCGCCTCCCTGCTCCATCTTCCCAGGGGCTGGAGGAGGCCCCAGCCGGGTCCTGCTGCAGGAGGCAGCGTGGGAAGCGTTGGCCAAGCAGCATCACTTTGGGGTCAGCAGCTGGGGGTTCTGGTGAGGTCTCAGGTTGTGCATGTGGGCCCCCGTTTCTTGCCGTGTGAGGGACAAGGGATGGCACGCACCTACTGCAGAGGGCTGGCGGGGTGAGCTGCTTCCTCAGGCTCCACGCTGCAGTGCCAGGGATGGGCTAAGTAATACTTAATGGAACCCTTTACAGGCTGGTCTGTGGCAGCAGCAGGGTAACAGCTGCAGCACTCCTGTGCTGCCCGCCTCTAGGAACTGTGAAGCACGAGGGATTTGGGTTGGGGATGCTCTGGAGCCGTGTGCCAGCCACAAACAGAGGATGAATCCATGCAGCTCTGACAGCCTCATGGCAGGGCCCATGTGCAGCCCGTGTGCCCCTTGCTCCGGGACCGCTGTGGCTGCTCAGTGCCAGCCCCCCCCGGCCCTGTCTCAGTGTCCCTCCCATCCCGCAGCGTCTCCGCCTGCAAGCTGAGGGACGAGGCCTGCTTCATCCTGTACGAGTTCTGGCAGGATGCGACCGCCTGGAGGAGGTTGGAGCCTTCCCTCGTGTGGGGCTGGGTCTGAGGGCTCGGGGTGGGGGGGGAGTTTCCTTTGGGGCTGTCCAAGGACCCCCCTTGCTCCCTGTCCCTGTGCAGCCCATCCTGCTGCTGCATCCCAGTGCATGCCCTGGGCTGCTTGCAGGGGTGAGCACCCTGGTAAAGGGCTTGGGGAGCGGGGAGGGCTGTGCTGCTCTGGGAGGTGCATGGGCAGGGGTCCCGCGGGGCACACACAAGCCCCGTGGCCCCTGATCCTGTGCCCTGTTCTGCAGCCACCTGCAGTCGAGCTGCAGCAAGAGCTTCCAGCGCTCCATCATCAGCCTGCTGGAGTCCCCGGAGCTGCTGACCACCATGCTCTTCCCAGGTGAGGGCTGCAGGGGGCTGGGGCTGGCATCTGGGGTCTCACTTTATTCCCCCTGAGCCCTGCAGAGCTCTGTCCCTCCTGGGTCAGTCCCAGTGCCTGTGCCCAGGGTTACAGCTCAGTGGTGCTGAGGCAGGGCAGCGACCAGGGACAGTTCATGTTCCCCTTGGTACCGGTGGAAGTCTGGCTGAGAGGTGAGGAACCAGGAGGGCTGGGTGGCACCTAACACCCAGTTAGGACCCAGCTTGCTGCCCCTTTTGTCACTTGAGCATGAACACGGATTAATTTGGACTAAATGCCAGGCCGGTCTCACCGACCCCATTCCCAGCGCTCCCCTGCAGAGGTCCCTGCAGCTCAAGTGGGTGACCCAGCTCCAGGCCCTGCCCTTGGCCGTGGTGGCTGCTTTAGAGCTGGGTGCCAGGCACCTGCCAAAGAGCCTGAGCTGCAGGGCTGGATCCCCGCGTCTCTGCTGCCCCATATCCCTGTGCTCACTGCACATCCCTGCCCCTCTCCCCAGCATCCTGGTGGATCATGAACAACAACTGAGGGGCAGCCGCCGCCAGGACGCCGCTGCCGTGTGGAACACGTGGAGCCCTCAGCGCAGCTGTTCCGTTCGTCACCTCTGTCTTCACCCCGTCCTGCAGCGCTCAGGGGCTGCCTGCCCGTCCCCTGGCACTGCCCTCCCTGCTCCTCGTCTTTATTCCCTCCCCAAGCCATTTCCCATTGGCAGCAGTGGGAGCTGTGCTCAGGGTGGCTGCTGGGGAGCACTGGGCTGGTTGCTGCGTCCCTCCTCTTCCTCCCCATGCTCCTCTTCCTCTTGGTTCCGCAGCGTGCTGGGATGTGCTGGGGGACACGGCTGTGGCCTCCCCAGCCTTGGCACTGGCTCTGCCCATGGGGCCGGTGCCTCGTATGCATTGTGAACAGTGTTTTATAGGAACATTAAGGGAGTATTCCTGGGGGGGGGAGGCTGTGAGCCTGGCCTTGCACCCCCCCAGCCGTGCCCGTGGCTGTGCCCGTCCCCAATAAATCACAGCCCCAGTGCAGGGGCTCGAGTGCGGTTCCGAGCTCTTGCTTCATCCTGTGGCTCCACTGCTGTGAACCAGCATCAGCGGTGCTAGGAGGAGGCTGGAGTGGGGTCTTGGGGGGGCACGGGGTGAGTGGGAAAGTGCCTGTGGCTGGAGCAGAGCGGAGCCCACCTGGTCCATGGGGTGCACACGTGGGGTTCAGGGTTGGTGCTGCAGGAACCAGTCCTCTGCTGCGCTGGTGCGAAATGTGCTGGCACAAGAGCACGGGGCAAGTATGAGTGAGGGCAAGAGCTGGCACCCCCAACCCTCCCTCTCCTGGGTACGTGTCCCCCCCAGAACTCTTTTCCCCCTGGAAACACTGATTTCATGGAATCCCAGCCTGCTTTGTGTTGGAAGGGACCTTAAAGCTCCTCCAGTTCCAACCCCTGCCACGGGCAGGGACACCTTCCACTAGAGCAGCTTGCTCCAAGCCCCTGTGTCCAACCTGCCCTTGAACACTGCCAGGGATGGGGCAGCCACAGCTTCTCTGGGCACCCTGTGCCAGGGCCTCAGCACCCTCCCAGGGAAGAGCTTCTGCCTAAGAGCTGCCTGTTTCCTCCCCAGTCCATGGGTGCAGCAATGAACAAGTTGCCCTGTGGCTGAAGGGGCTGTGGGTACAGCTCCATCCCACAGACACTGCACACAAGCAGGATTTTCCCAGGTGTCCCTGGGCTTGGGGTGCAGGGAGGGAGAACGTGGTAGATGCAGAGATGGGATCAGCAGGATCATCCCTGTAGAGGAGCAGGGAGCAGCAGCCACTGCTGCCCGCTCAGCTGGGCCCCATTGCACTCCATCCCATGGCTCAGGTGACTGAACAGCCACTGTCCCCCCTTGCTGCTGGGTCCCCCCTTGCTGCTGGGTCCCCCCAGGCCCTGCAGCAGCAGCATCACCACCACAGGGGAGGGGTTGTGTCCCCTCCAGCATCCCCCAAACCCCCCAACAGCAGCAAACCTCTGCCCCTGCTGATGAATATAGTCTTTTTATTGACTACTTCGGAGTAGAACAAACTAAATACATCTGTACCAGTTTGAGTTCCTTTATACAGTACATTAAATAAGTTATGCACAGGAATGAAGTAACAAATCCCTATTACAGAATTAAATGTCAAAAAATAATAATAGAGAAACCTCACCCAACGTCTGCCCAAGCCTGGGGTTCACATTTATCATTCCATGTCGAACAAACGCAATCGCTCTAACCATGACTGTTAGTATTTCATCCATGTACACTGGGGTTAATCTTAATACACCATCAGGGTTGCATGAGAATTATGGAAGACAATCTATGTACAAGCACGTTCCTCCTCCTCCCACATCCCACCTCGTGGCGTTGAGGGTTGGGGCAGGGCAGAGGTGAGGGGATGTCACAACCAGACGTGATTTACCTGAGGCTGCTCCCAATGTGCCCCTTAGGGCAAGGGAGCCCTTGAGCCCCAAGGGGGAAAAACGGGTGCAAGAGCAGCCCCTGCCCTGCTGCTCTCTCACAAGTGTTTGCTGCTCGACCCCGCGTCCTCGTGCTGCTTCCCAGGACCGGTGCCCCGGGGCTGCCAGGGTTTGGGGCTCACCCGCTCACCTGCATTGCTCCTGGGGTGCAGGACTCTGCTGGCTGCCACCTGCTCCACACTGCTGCAGGTCAGGGCGCTTCACCCCAGGGCGCAGCATCCTCGTGCCCGGCCCCCCGCAGCTGTGTTGGTGCAAAGGGCACCGCTGGGGCCATGGGTGATGCTCCCAGCTGCCACCAGAGCTGTCTTCAACACCAGGCAAAGACTCGGGGGCTCTTCTGCGTGGTAAAACCTCACAGGCACAGGAACTGGCCAGCTCTACCCCCTGACAGCATCTTCCGAACAGCTTTCCTCAGGGACAGGGCTGGTTCAGTGGGGCACTCGTTCATCTCTGGGCAGCCAGCGCCACCACAGCAAGCTCCAGGTGATCCATCCCATTTCCATCAGTCGCCTCCAACTGAACTGGTCAAAACTAACTTGGGAATTACTCGCCTCATTGGGCTCCGGCCCAGGAGCAGCCACGGGAACACGGCTCTGCTGAACTGATGGTTCTCCAGAGCCCCTTGGGGTGCAGGGTGGGAGAGTAAGGCAGAGCCCATCAGGACGTCCATGAAGCATGAGATGAGCCCCACTGTGACCCCCAAACAGCCCCACTGTGGGGTTTGCAGTGCCCCAAATCCCTCCATACACATCCTAAGCAAGGAATCTTCCCAGGCCGGCCACAGCATCCCTGTGCGATCTCACTGCATATTTGGGATGCTCTGATGGTGGACGAGGCAGTGGTGGCACATCCCTGGGGATGAGGAGAGGAGTGCAGCCCGTGTCAGAGCAGCACCGCAAGGCTGGGGGAAGAACTGATGCAGGAGGACACCAAGTCCTGTGTTTAGTTTGGCCAAGGTGTGTGGAGAGCACAGACCATAAGTAACAGTCCTGTGAGGATCTCTGGTTCAAAACAACGGCAGAAACTCCCAAACCAACAACTTCCATGCAGTGAGAAACACAAAAGCTTTCTGCATAGCAAAGTAACAGCACCCAGGTGGGAAGGGCAGTAACTGCCTGCAACCAAGCCAGGTTTGCTCTGCACACTCTTCCCCAGCAAAGGTCCCCCCAGGGCGACACAGAACCGTCCATCCCATCTCTAGCATACTGTGATACTGTGATACTGTGAATGGGATTAAAGCCATCCAGAAGTGACTGCCCACAGCTCCCTGGTACTGACATTTGGTTTAGAGCAGATGAATCCCCTCCTCCTCCTCTGCAACCACCAACTGCCAACCTGCAGGCAGAGGAGGAGCGAGCTCAGCTTTTGCCATTGCACTAGAGTACGAGATGCTCCTGCTGGGGAATAAGCTCCAGTCTGTTCACAGCAACCCCTGGCCATCTGAGACACCGTGCCTGGGCACCAGGGGAGCACGGATCCATGCTGTGGAAGAAAGGAAGCTGAGGAAGGAGCTTGAGCACGTCTGGCCCATAAGGATGGAGCTCCCATTGTTCACCCCATGCTCAGCATCTCCTGCGTGCGCCGGCAGCTCCCCACTGAGTCCAGGTCCCCCTGAGTGAGTGCCCAGTGTCCTCCAGTCCTGAAGGATGCTCTGGTTCTCCCTGCAGGGAGATGGGCACCGAGGTGCTGTGGGCAAGGTTCTTCACGAGCCACGCCAGGAAAAGGCAGAATGAGATGGCAAAGCCCGAGTGTCGGCGCTCCGAGGAGGCGGCGCGATGTGTCAGATGTGTCACGGGATACGAGGTGCTGTGGGGCGTTTTCTGGCTCAACCCCCCCCCAAGGGAAACCACTCAACGGGAGCAAACCCAAACTTCCCCTTCAGAGCCCGTTCGTGTCTATGGCTGTCACGGATGCCGGGGTGGAGGAGCGGGACGTGGTCGCCGAAGTCTTCTCAAGGGCTGGGCTGGGAACGCCATCGAGGCTCTTGGCCACGGAGCGGCCCGTGGGCAGAGCCAGGGGCTTGCTCTGGCCGTGCAGGCTCTGCCCGCAGATGCGGTGGTGCCTCTCCCAGTCCTTGTGCTGGCAGAAGGAGCCGCAGTAGCGGGCGATGTTGCAGCCGCTGCAGGTCTCGCTGGCTTTGCGACCGCAGTTCCAGCAGCTCTGCAAGACCAGAGACACCAAAACGGGTTCAGTTCCCGAGGGCTAAGGGACGGTGCTGACTCAGCAGCTCTGGAGGGGACCGCTCATCCCCTCTCTGGCCCAGATTTAATACTATTAACATGAGCAAGCCATTAATTCCTGCTGCTTTGCCAAGGGTACCACTCCTCTGCTCTGCCCAAACCTGCCTGCCAGACTGCACCGCTCACATCCTCCACCCAAATGCACAGAGGAAGCAGCAGGCAAGGACTGAAAACCACGCTGCAGATGCTGCTATTCGGCCTTTTTATTTCCTGTTTTAAGCAGCTCTATTTTGGTCTCGCTCCCAGCCAAGTGCCTCCGCAGGGATTACAGCGCGTTGTGCAGGCACCATGTGCCGTGCCCCCTGCCTCGCTGCACAGGAGGCTGGAGCAGGCTCATTTGGAAAGGAAAAACAGCTCCTTTGAAGCCAGGTGGAAGCAGCACCAGAGCCTGGCTCTAATCTGGAAGTGGAGCCGAGCCCAACCAAAGTGCCTGCAGGCACCATGTGAGCGCCGGGAGCTGCGGCTGCTCTGAGGCAGAGCATGGATCAGTTTTCCTGCAGCTGCACCCCTGCGTCAGCAGCGCCCTGAGCAGGGCAAGGTCAGCTCACGGAGAAGGGGGTGGTGGAAGATGCTGGGTGCAGCACTGAGATTCCCTGCTCCCAGGGCCTGCACCAGAGCCACCAGCTCCTGGTGACGATTGATGGGCTGGAGGCAAAGCACCACAGTGAGCTGGTGGGGAGCGAGCTGCTCCAGAGCCAGTGTGACCCCGGGGCTGCTCAAGCTTCCTGAAGCAGGACTCACAACCACAAATCCCCACCAAAGCCTGTGGTAACTTGGAAAACTGGGTCACTGCTTTACAGCTGTCTGCACTTCAGGGGGGGTTAAACTCTGTTTCAGAGGTTACATCTGACAGAATACATGACAGCTTTTCATCATGGCCCCCAGGGAAGGGCTCGGGGGCTTGCACAGGAGGGTGCTGCAGGGGAAACTCAGTGGCTCCCCGGAACGGCTGGAGGAGGACAACACTCCTCTGGTATTCCCCTGTGGAGAAATCCGGCTTGTCTCATTTCTTCCATGGCTTCCTGAGTTCCACCCACTCCCATCATGTGTTTACTGACTGGTGCATTCAACCAGCAGTGATTTAACTGGGACATATCAGAGTGTAGAGAGAATGCTCTGTAATAACACCTAATATTTACATGGTAAATTAGCATGGGGCCAGAGCTTCCTGAGCTCCGGACTGAAGCCCCACATGAGGAGGGAATGGGACTTGCTGCCTGTACAGACCCACCTGACATTAGCTCCATGTTCCCATCCCGGTTTTGCTCAGTAGAAATAAAGCCTCTGCATTCATGCAGGAAATTAAAACAAGGAGCAAACCACACGTGGATGGGAAGTGGTGGTGCAGGAATGAGCTGTGCAATTCTTGCCCAGTCCAGCTGAGATCTCCAAAGCTTAACATGAGCTTCCAATTAAGCAGCAGTGAGGGTAATGAATGACTGAGGTGTGGATCGAGTTCCCCATTCAGCAGTGTCACTGGCTATGACAAACCAAGAGTCAACTCTTCAATTCCAACATCTCATTTGGTGTTACAAGGCTATCCACAGCAGGGATGGCCACCCTGCACCAACACTTCCCACCTACCCCTGCACATATGGGAGAGACACAGCAAGAACCATGGGGGCCTGGAGATGAGGTGAGCACACACAGCCCAGGCTCATGTTTTGGGATCCAGTGGAACAACGACACCCCAGAAAATACACGACATGGGGTATGGTAGAGACCATCAGGTACATGAAGCTTCACCTGCAGCCAAGCATCTACCCTGCACGATTTTAAAGCCCACAAACAGAGATTCATTTTCTGCACAGATCAAGTACCCCACAGCAGGTTTCTGAGCTAAATGGAGAGCTGCATCCACCAGCATCCTTCTGCTTCCACGTCTCCCTTGATCCCAAGAAATCCCTGGTCATTGCACTGGGTCACAGAGTCCCAGACTGGTTTTGGTTGGAAGGGACCTTAAAGCTCCTCCAGCTCCAACCCCTGCCACGGGCAGGGACACCTTCCACTAGAGCAGCTTGCTCCAAGCCCCTGTGTCCAACCTGCCCTTGAACACTGCCAGGGATGGGGCAGCCACAGCTTCTCTGGGCACCCTGTGCCAGTGCCTCAGCACCCTCACAGGGAAGAACTGCCTAAAGTCTAATCTAAATCTACCCTCCAGTAGGGTCCAGGTCATAGACGCCAGCTGTGCCTTCATGTGCGGACACCAATTCCCCTACAAGCAAAATCACAAGCAAAATGTTTTTTTCCATGCTAACAGTGCATCCTGGCAGGGCGCCCATAACACACAGTAACAGTAACTGAACCGAGACTCCTAAAAGGAAAAGGGATGAGGAACCTGCAGGCTCCGAGTCACTGCTGTGCAGGACCTGGAGACTCGGAGTCTTTGCAAGTCCCCTCCTAGCACATCCCCTGGTACCTTACCTCTGTAGACTCCTCCTGCTCATTTATCACTAGGAAAGCATCCTCGGTGGCCTGGCGCTTAGCGTCCGCGATGGTCTGCTCCATGCGCGCCCTCTCAGAGGCAATCATCTCAAACGCCTTCTGCTCGGCCTCTGCCACTGCCTTCTGCACCTCGGACATGGCCTGGCGCTTCACCTCGTTCACGGCTTCTTCTGGAAGGAAAGAGTAGCTTCAGCACCCGCCCCAGGGGCAGGGTGAGCCTCTGAGAGACCCCGGGGTGCAGCCACGTGTTCCCTGCGGCAGCACCAGCACCGCGAGTGCCCCTGGAGCCAGGCTGAGCCCCACAGGATCCCCACACATCATCCAGAAGGAGCTGAGCCCTTCGGAAAAGCCAGGCTGGGGGTGTTGGCAGCCAGATGTGCACATCCTGGGGCGTTCCTGCAGCTGGGCTGCTCCTGTTTGTGCCGAGCAAAGCAGCGGCATCTGTGTTTACCGCAGGCGAGGCGGCCCAAGCCCTCGCCAAGCTCCTCACAAACACTCACCAGCTTTTTTCCAGATCTCCTCAGTGACGTAGCCCGTTCCCGACCTGCTGCTGAACTCCCGCAAGGAATCTGCTGGAATAAGGGACACAGGGAAAGGTTGGCAAAGCCTCGTCTCAGCCAGCTGCTGCTGAAGTGCCCAGCAGTGCCTCCATACATCGCGGGGCAGGGCAGAATCAAGCGGCTCGAACTCAGAGCAGAGGATTCCTACAGCTAAAGCTGTTCATCAAATGCTCAGATGATAAATTACAACATTTAATTAGTGCCTTGCATAATTTATGACCCTGTATAACCCATTTCCTGGTACTCTATAACAACAGGCAATGCTTATGCTATGTTTGTATGCCAAACATCTGCACTGGCCAGAGACTTTGAGCATCAACCTATGTGACCAGCAGCTCACATTAAACACAGCACTTCCCGCTCCCAAGGGCGATTCAAAGGCTTGAAATGACAAGCTGCCCTGCAAGACCTCTTACAACCAGAGGTGTACACATTCCTCAGCACCCATGAGCCTGCGAAGAGCCAATGTGACAGGTAGGGATGGTGACACAAGGGCCTGAACACAGACTGCGGTGACGCAGGGAAGCTTTTTGAAGCCTCATCCTGTGTCCCTGGTTTTTAAGGCTTCAGAGTAACTTTCTGAAGGCTCAGAACAAAAACTGATTCGTGTCCAAGGTTGGTGGGAGAACAAAAGCACTTCATGAGTTCTCACAACAGGAATGGAGTGTGACAATCAGCCCTTGGTACCACAAGGGGAGGAAGCATCAACAGTGTTCCCAATCCATTAAAAAAGAATATTCAACTATATCACCCTTAACATCATGGGGCTGTAAGTGTATTAGTCATGATAGACTTAAATATAAAAGGGCTAAAAGCTGGCTGTGCTCATGAGGCCGTCACGCAGCCCAGCCAACCCATGGGCTCACACCGTATTTATTGGGATGGAAATACAAATCACATCCAGATGAATAAACCAGCATTTTAGACTTGGTTTTGTACAAGGGTCAAATACTGGAGGTGAGAAATAGTCAGCTTCAATAAAGTTAACTTGACTCATGATACAGAAATAGAATTAATAAACCAGGTAGCTCTTACACTTACTGCAGTCTTTGGCATTTTAAGAATTAGCAGACCTTGACATTTTAAATCGTGTAGACAGACTGGGAAGGGAAGAGAGCTGGAACCAACCACTTCTTCTGCCTTTTCACCCCCCAGTTTCTCAGCTGTGGATAAACTTGGCTTGGTTTGGTCAGCAAGTACAGCTCAGTGACAAGGAAGATGCTCTTCTCCCAGCACTAACAGAAGCTGCTTCCTCCAGCTCACCGAGGAGGTTCCATGTATCCACTGACTTGTCTCTCTTCAAAGCACTGAAAACAGCTATGCACTGCTGAAGTATTTAATTTACAGAATCCCAGACTGGTTTGGGCTGGAAGGGACCTTAAGGCTCATCCAGTTCCAACCCCTGCCACAGGCAAGGACACCTTCCACTAGAGCAGCTTGCTCCAAGCCCCTGTGCCCAACCTGGCCTTGAACACTGCCAGGGATGGGGCAGCCACAGCTCCTCTGGGCACCCTGTGTCGGTGCCACACCACAAATTGTACCATTACCTGACCCTATTATCATCACTTTGTGTCTAATATTGTCAAAGGAGGACACCACAGGAGGTTGTGGCCGCCCTGGCTCACCACTGCCGATGGAGTCGGAGCTGCTGGGGCTGTGCTGCCTGGGGAGCAGGTCGCTGCCCGCCTTGCGCGGCTCGGCCTCGCTGCACCGCCTCTTCCAGTAGTTGAGCTCCTCCCGGTCGGCCTCCTGGCAGCGCCGCAGCACGGCCATGGAGCGCCGCGTCTTCTCCACCATCTCCATGATGCAGTTCAGTGCCTGAAGGAGGAACGAGGGCTCAGTCTGGCTCACAGGGTCATCTCCTCAATTTCTCACTGGAGGCTCCATCCCAGGAAGATGTCATTGTCTGGAGTGATGCTCCAATCTTCCCTCCCCACCGTCCACCTTCTTGTGGTGGCCTGTTCCTCCACGAGCCTCTCAGAAAGCCCAGATATGGTATCAACAACAAGAAAACCACAAATTGGAGCAGGTGGATCACTGGGTTGCTGCATCCCACAAAGCTTCCCACATCTCCTGCCTGTTCCTTACGTGATCGAGATGCTTCCACTCATCAGCCCACTCTCTCTCCGTCAAGCGGTGGTCCACCAGCTCGTCCTGGTATCCTCCATTCAAACCTTCAAGAAACCACAGCCACAAGAGTGATCAGATGGACCAAGTGCTTTCAGTACTAGAGAGGGGAGGTGGCCCTAAGCGATAACAAAGAACAGTATTTCCAGCTACATATAGCTGAGACTGTAAAACACATCTCAAGGAGGTGGCTCTACAGGGGCAGTTCCCCACTGGTGCTTTTATCCTTATCTGTGTCACCATCTCTGAAGTGCTACAATCCACTCACAGCTCTGGATCTGATCTGCTTGTGAGCTGTCTCCCTTATAAACCCACAGGAGCTCAGAGCTTGTGCCCTGTTGGAAACACAGCACGTACCTCCCACACCCCCCTGGGGAGACACGGGCTGCAGGGCCAGGCTCTGGTTTCCTGCTTCAGTGATCTCAGGGAAGTTACTTTCTACCTCCCTGCCCGCTCCTTATCCTTCTACCTCCTTACCCTCAGTGACTCCAGCCTTTACATGTGTACAAGGAAATACAGCCTCAATCTTCCCACTTTAACCTTCCATGCTCTGAATCCCCTTCAAAATCTCTGCTGAGGACATGGCCACATTACACAGCTTTGGGTGCAAGTGGCCAAGCAGGGACTGATGCCAAAGCTCAGCTCCTGGACCTCACAGCTCCTACAACTAAAAGCCCTGCAGGCTTTCTCACCCAGAGCGCCGTGCCTGTCTCGGATCTCTCTGTGCTCCAGCATCTTGCTGGGGTCCCTGTAGAGGTGGGAGGTTGCGATGTCTTCCAAGGTGTAGTGCTGGAGGGGCGGTGGGGTGGGGTGGAACTGCCCCCCGGGGTTCATCAGGGGGATGGTGAGGGCCGGGCTGTGCCGGGGCGCAGGGCTGATGGTGCACACCCGCTTGGCCGGAGGGTCTGTCGGCAGCGGGTCCCTCTCAAAGCTGCTGTCGTCCCTTCTGCAACCACACCAGCAGAGAGAGGTGTTTGTTAGCACCACACGAATGCACTTGGAAAGGGAAAGATGCAGATTTCAAACCAGCAGAGCTGGGGCAGCGATGATTTTAGTGTGTGGGGGGAAAGGCAGGGAGCTAAACCAAGCACACTCAGTTTAGGAACAAATCCACAGGATGACCCTGTCAAAGAACAAGGTCAAGATGCCCGAGTGCTGTGATTCATCTTTCTGAGCATGACCACATTAACATTTCACAGTTTTGGTAAAACTGAGGCATGCTCCACATCATTACATAACAAATTCTGACTTGGAATAAGAAGTGCTGAAAACAAACTGCATCCTCCCAAGAGAGTGCCTCTGTGAGCTGCCCGAGGAGGGCGAGCTCAGCTCCCTCTGGGACAGAACCGGCCTGAAAGAGGATCCCAACCTGAATTCACAGTGCAGGAAGAACGATCACTGATGTCTCATTAACAGCCAGAACAGTTGCTGAGAGTGGTAAAACCCTTTGCTTTAGCCCTGAATGATGTTAAAGCTTTGACAGCAGCAAAGCTGAACCAAGTCACGACTTCAAGAGGGTGGCAGCACACCAAGTGCTGTGTTTACCTGTCTGGACTGTGCCTCTTCCCATTCCCGTTCACCTCGATGAGCAGCTCGGAGGAGTCAGCGGGGGACGTGGTGTTTGTGTTCAGCAGGATGTGCTCGTGCTGCGCCAGGTACTGGGAGGGTGTCTGCTTGGCAGCGCGGGCACAGTGCAGCAGCTCTCTCTGCAGCAGCGGGAGGTTGGCCTGGAAAACAAGTGGGGTCTGCTCTACCCAGGCAGCTCCAGCTGCTCACAGGTTTGCTCTGCACACCTCAGAGCAGTAGCACTGGGTTAATGCATCCCACTGAGCTTCAACCCCTCTGCTGTGCTCTTGGGAGACTCCCACCCTGCAGCCCTGATCCAGCTGTGGGGCAGCAGCACAAGAGGGACCTGGAGCTGTTGGAGAGAGTGCAGAGGAGGCCATGGAGATGCTGTGAGGGCTGGAGCAGCTCTGCTCTGGAGCCAGGCTGAGAGAGCTGGGCTGGGTCAGCCTGGAGAAGAGAAGGCTCCTGAAGGGGAGACCTTAGAGCAGCTCCAGGGCCTAAAGGGGCTGCAGGAAACCTGGAGAGGGGCTTGGGACAAGGGCCTGTAGGGACAGGCCAAGGGGAATGGCTTTAACCTGCCAGAGGGGAGACTGAGATGAGCTCTTAGGCAGAAGCTCTTCCCTGTGAGGGTGCTGAGGCGCTGGCACAGGGTGCCCAGAGAAGCTGTGGCTGCCCCATCCCTGGCAGTGTTCAAGGGCAGGTTGGACACAGGGGCTTGGAGCAAGCTGCTCTAGTGGAAGGGGTCCCTGCCCGTGGCAGGGGTTGGAACTGGATAAGCTTTAAGGTCCCTTCCAATACAAACCAGGATGGGGTTCTATTAACACCTAGAGCCTGTGGCCCCAACTCAGGATCCTCCAGCTCCTGGTGTCTGCACTAGGATTTATCTGTATTTCCTCAAGAGCTGAGGATGGCCTGACACCGATGCACCCAAACCCCAAGTGTCACGGGAAGTGCTCTGTGCTTCCAGCATCCAGCCACCCCCAGACAGGCTCCATGTGCCAACACTTCAAACATTCTAGATCTGAACATCTGCAAATAAGATTATAGGATCAGAAGCTCCTGATGGAGCTTGGTTTGTCCCCTTTATCCCTAACATACAAGCAGACATATGTGGCACTTGCTACAAAGTCAGCTTTCCACAAGCCCGTCCCGCACGGCCACTGTTCGGTCTGTGCAGTCTGTCTTGGACTGGAACTAAATGGCTGTGGTGCTTGAAGGAGGAGCTTTCCCAGCACAACACACTGCCAAGCACAGAGCCTAACTCATGGAGCACCAGCAAAGCCCCACCAGCTCCCTGTCACCTTCAGAAAGGGGATCACAAAGGGCCGGAGGGGGAAGTTGGTCGCCTCTTGCAGCTTGCAGTGAAATTCCTCGATCGTCACCGTTGAGTTCTGAGGAAACAAATTAAGAAATGAAATGACAATTTGCTCTAATTTTTAGACACGGGGGAAACGGCTCCAAATGAACAGAACTGGAAGAGAGACTGCATCTGCCACTCCAGGACTGACAGCTTCCATCGGATTCTGCCCAACAGCCAAAAAGACTCAGGCCAATGGAGCAGGATTGCTGCACCAGGCAAGGGGTGAGCGCTGCCTGGCCCAGTATCCTCCCAGCTCCTGGGCTGGGAGCAGAGCCTGGGTCTGGGAAGCAGCAGGACCCAGCTGGTAGCTCCCGCAGGGATCCAGGCAGTGATTCCAGCTGCTCAGAGTTGCACCCTTCCTCTCCTCCTTCCTCCTGCTCAGCTCACCTCGCCTAACCTACCCACCAGCCATGAGGTTTCCATCACCCTGCTCCGGCAGCACATCCCCTGGGGCTGTGCAAGCTGCCTGCTCCCTGGGACAAGCAGCATTTGATAACCTGTATGTACAAAGTTCAGCCCTGCAGCAATCACCATAATCAGTGGTGAGATGACAGTCACAGGAACCTGGGCAGCTTAACATTTCCATTTCCAAAAGGGTGAGCTAAGGTACTACCCTGCACCCATGGAAATGCATACTCCTTCCTGCAGCAACAGCATTTTGCATACAGTGTTCAAACCCTGGCACTGCTCAAGGCCAGGTTGGACACAGGGGCTTGGAGCAAGCTGCTCTAATGGAAGGTGTCCCTGCCCGTGGCAGGGGTTGGAACTGGATGAACTTTAAGGTCCCTTCCAACTCAAACTATTTTGTGACTCCATGAAACACTGAAATCCCCCAAGGCTATGAACAGACTCATGGTTGCTCTGCCCATGCCAAACAGCAGAGCTGGTCCTGGGATCAGCCATATGGGCCCAGCCATGGTGCTGTGCTCCAGGGTCTCAGTCGCAGGTCTGTGCTTGCACAGCATTTCTACCAGGTAGCCTGTATACCTGCAAATACTTGACACAATTGTGCAGCGAGACTTGTTCATTTGGTTTTTGAAGGATGTTTTCAGGCGTCCATAGCTGCTAAGAGGCATGAGGGCACACACACACCATGTTTGCACTGCCACCCACCCCAGCTCTTGCAAATGCGAGCATGGGAATGCAAAAGAAGGGCAGAAGATGCACAAGTTACTGACCAAGCCCTTTGCTATAGCTGCACCCTCAGACTGTCACAGGCATGGATGTGTCTGGAAGAACCAATACCTTTGGTAACACACATATGCAATCCCACAAAGCAGCAGCTGCTCACCAGGAGCCCAGACCTCTGATTTTGCAACCGCGGCCCTCCCATGCTCTGCAGACTTTGGCAATGGTTCACTCTGCTGAGCCAGTGGGCTTGGGTTAAGACATGGCAGGAGCAGCCCATAAAGAGGAAAAGAGCCCATTAAATACATCACGGCTTATCAACAAATTACATCTCTGAAGTGTCCTAACAAGTCTCTACACACCTGGGAGCAGAGTAGGATTCCCAGCTCTCTGGAGTGAGTCCCTGCTAGCGACAGCACCCTGCCCTTCCCATTACTGCTGGCTCCCTTGCTGAGCAAAGCAGTGTTGAGCTGCCACACTGAGCTCAGGCCAGCACTAAGTAGTGGCTGGAACTGGTTTTTCATTGTATGGAAGCAGATGAGAGTTAAACTGATCTGTGGCTGGGGTCAGGCAATTAACACCTGCACAGGCAAGAAAACACTTCTCCAGCTACAGACTCTTCTGAACTGGGTGAACAGTTTCATTTATAGAAGAAATGGAAAGCCCAGCATGGCCTGTGACACCAGAGCCGCGGCCTTTAGAGGAAGGCTTTGTCCCAGTCCATCCAGAATTCCTTAAGTCTAGCTGCACACAAGCTGATGCCAAAGCCACCGGACAAAAAGCTTTTTGAAACCCACCAAAGCCAAGAGAGGAAGAAGTCAGCAAGTTTACCAGAACGCATAAACACTGCAGAGCCTTGCTCAGCCAACAGCTCTGCCTGTAAACATGCAGACACACAGCATTGTGTAACATGGGTACACGCTGGCTGCCAGGATCCCATCCCAAAGTGTTCTCCAAGATCAAGGCAGCCTAAGCTGGGATGTGAGGCTTACCACTAGCGCCAGGACCAGGGTCCGGACCTTCTCCCCGATCTCTGGTGAGATGTCATTGCCGAACTGCTGCAGGGTAGTGAGGAAGCGCTTCAGCTTGCTGAGCTGCCGGGCACCACATGTGGCTGGGAGCTGCTGGTTCGTCAGCGAGGAAGAGGAGGAGGAGGAAGGACCGTTGCTAAACCTCTGGGGTGGGGATGGAGCCCCGTTCAGGGTCGGTGGCGAATGGTTTATTCCGTTGGGCACTGAAAATAGGAGAGAGAAGCGATATTTGGTGTTTAAGAGGATCCAGGAGCCTGCTGCTGCTGGCTAATTGCTGCTAGCAAACAGGGCAAGAGCCAGAAAAGGGGCTATGGGCAGAGCAGAGCCTGCACACTGTGCTGGAGGGCACCCAGCGTGGAGCTGGTCACCAATAACATGCGTGCCTTATCTCCTCAAGTTTCCCCTGGGCTCACAGGGATGCTCTTGCAGCTCCCAGCACATGAGAACCACACACCCAGCCAAGGCACTGGGTTGGAAGGGACCTCCAAGCCCATCCAGCTCCAACCCCTGCCACAGGCAGGGACCCCTTCCACTAGAGCAGCTTGCTCCAAGCCCCTGTGTCCAACCTGCCCTTGAACACTGCCAGGGATGGGGCAGCCACAGCTTCTCTAGGCACCCTGTGCCAGCGCCTCAGCACCCTCACAGGGAGGAATCTTTTCCTGATATCCAATCTAAACCTCCCGAGTTTCCTCAGGTGTGATTTACACAGTCACCTCCCTGGCATTTCTCTCCTCTGCTCAGCGAGCTTTATGCCCAGGACCATCAAAAACCAACAGAATCAGCGCTCAGCAGAGCAGGCACACCACTGCTTGCATGTGAGGCAGCCTGAGGGGACACAGGGTCAGCCCTCAGCAGGAATCACTGACCAGGGTTTCCTGGCCTTTGTCAGGCAGAAAGTGACACCAGACATCCCAACCATCCCTCCCAGCCCCAGCCTCTACAGTAAGTCACCAGTTCTCATTACAGCCAGGGGCTCACTAGCAGAACCTGCAGCTCAGGTGCCTCCTCTTTACCCCAAGAGGACCAACAGTATCCTGCCCATTGCTCCCACTGCACCTCCCTAGGGATTTACAGGGGGTTTCACAAGCAGGGTTGTTTTTCCCAACCTGGTCCCATTTGCAGCACTGCTTTCTGTAAGTGGAGGGCATGTCGAAACAGACTGAGGGTTGGAAGTTTGGGAACTCAGCAAGGGATCAGAATCAATTGTTGACATCCCCACACTGCTGTTGTGCAATCTAGAGCCCTGTCTGAAGAACAGCTGTGCACTGGGGCCCCAACACAGCATAAACCAGAGTCTGAGAGGGGGAAAAGTACATCATCAGAAATACAGTTCTAGCTGATCCACAGGGTTATCCTTAAAGGCCAGACCTGAATCCCTTATGGATGTAAGTGCTGAAGGCCACAAGCCATATAAACCATTTCAAATGATGGCGTTCAGAGAAGCACTGCAGCCACCCAGCAGAGCCCCTTGCATGCAGAGCATGCAGTGATGGAGCAATAACTTGCCAAAAGAGATGTGAAAACCATCACTGCAGCTTTGTGGGGTTCACACCAAATCCTTGTGACCCAGGGAGGGGTTTTTGGAGCAGGCAGCAGGAGGGCCCTAACAGTTAAACCGCTCTGGGGCACACCAGGGTTGGAGGCTGGAAAGGCTCCACACACCTGGACCTGCTGTGGTGAGCACAGAGGGAAGCCAGGAAGATTTAACCAGAGTCAGTTAAGATGCAAGGGAAAGATAAGGCTGAAGAGACCATCAAAGGTGGTTCCTGCTAACCAAAGGGTGACATGCTCTTTGGGGGCATAACAAAGACGTGGCCTTTTGCAGACAGAGAGATGATGAAATGAAGGCAAAGGCCAGGATTGAGAGAATGGGGGTACAAAGGCAAAGCAAACTCATGCCTTTTGTTATGGAACAACACAACCTCAGAAACTGCTGTCCACATCAACTTCCCCAAGGCAGCAAAGGGAAAGAGATGTCCTGCAGAGATGGCATGTACCTGCAGGGTCAGCTACCATGGAGCACAGAGCTGTGTGAAGGGCAAAGCTTCCGTGAATTACTCAGAACACTTATTTCACAATAGAATTGATATAAATAGGGGGAAAGCTGCCCAGAGAAAGCTTTGCTCAAACAGCAAATGTTGAGAGAGGGGATTCTCCTGCTCCGCTGTGCTCTGGGGAGACCCCCCCCTGCAGCCCTGATCCAGCTCTGGGGCAGCAGCACAAGAGGGACCTGGAGCTGCTGGAGCAAGGCCAGAGGAGGCCATGGAGATGCTGCAAGGGCTGGAGCAGCTCTGCTCTGGAGCCAGGCTGAGAGAGCTGGGCTGGGTCAGCCTGGAGAAGAGAAGGCTCCTGAAGGGGAGACCTGACAGCAGCTCCAGTGCCTGAAGGGGCTGCAGGAAACCTGGAGAGGGGCTTGGGACAAGGGCCTGTAGGGACAGGCCAAGGGGAATGGCTTTAACCTGCCAGAGGGGAGACTGAGATGAGCTCCTAGGCAGAAGCTCTTCCCTGTGAGGGTGCTGAGGCGCTGGCACAGGGTGCCCAGAGAAGCTGTGGCTGCCCCATCCCTGGCAGTGTTCAAGGGCAGGTTGGACACAGGGGCTTGGAGCAAGCTGCTCTAGTGGAAGGGGTCCCTGCCGTGCCAGGGCTTGGAGCTAGATAAGCTTTAAGATCCCTTCTGATACAAACCAGGCTGGGATTCTATGAACAGCTCTCCTGTGACTGAGGCTCTTCACCCACTTCTCTGTTCCACTTCCTCTTATTGTTTCACATGAAAGACCCGGCAGAGCAATGGGCTCTATTTATAGCTGGGAGAAGGGGGGCTGTGGAATCCACCGGGGCCAGGGGGCTGCAGCTCCTCAGGAGAGGCTGCCCTGGGTGGCAGTGGTGGCTGTTGATGACCTCCAGAGCAGAACACGCTGGGTTAGGGCTACCGTTAGACACAGCCCTGTAAGCACTCTGTGTCTGGGGCTCATCCTGCCTGGCCTGACCTCCCTGTGAGCGCCATTACCGCAGGGCAACCAGCAGTTATCTGCTCCTGCACAGCACCGGGACCTGCTCCCCACAGAGCTGGGCTGGGGCCTCCATTTCCAGGTGAGAAGACAGTGCTGAAGCAATGAGGTGGGGTACCCGGAGCAGTGGGGTTACCGGTTTGGGGAGAGGGGGATGCTAACCTCCTGGGAACATAAGTCATCGCCTAGGGTTACTCTGTCAAACTCTGTCTTGGATCCTCAACAGGCTTTTGCTGCTTCTCCCTTTTGTTAGTGATCCACAAGCAGACAGGGCCTTCCTCCAGCATGTTCTTCCTCACCTGCCCCAGCCATGGGCAGGGTAGGACACGCACCCACTGACTCTGACCAAGACCCTTTCATGCAACTGAGAAGTAAAGGAGCAAGAATGAACTTCACCACAGGCTGCATCTCTCATCAGTCTTGGAAAGAGGCAATTAAGTCGTGTGCAATCAGCAGATTCAGGCTCCTTGGCCCTGACCAGTGTGCCAAGCAACCTCGTTGGGAAAATTAATTCCTGTCACTTTGCTAATGGTCTTTTTCTGCCTGAGCAAAAGGAGAGCCATTAAAAACCCCTCAGCACACAGAGATGGGGATGTGTCTGGCGGGATAACCCAGTGATTAGTGCTACTGCCAGCACCACGCAATACATTAGTGTGTGTCCTGATGGAGCTGGATTGTAAACCTCCAAAATCCCCTGCCAGCATCAAACTGCGAGATACCCCAGGCACCATCATGGACAGCAGAGCAATGCAGAACCAGCTAGGGAGATGCTCAGTGCAGGGCAAAAGGGGCAAGGAGAGCATGGAAAATACGTATGATGTGCCACGTGCAGGGTTCAGATAACTCCATGCCCAACAAAGAAAAGCAGCTTTTCTTCAGAATGGTGCTTTTTAACAGACATTAAATGGCTTAAATGTTGGCTAAGGGAGGAAAAAAGGACTCTTCTAGGCTCTAAGAAAAGGCCACGTGTCCATCCCATCCAGAGAGTCACCTCTGAGCCAGAAGTAAGAGACTGCTGCAGATGGGCAGGACCAGGATTGACTGTGGCTTAATAGGCAAGATTATAAAGAGAAGATGGAGCAAAGAAAATCTGGATGGAGAGAAAGGAATTTCTGAGGCTGGGAAATTAAAAAAAAAAAAAAGGAAAACTTTCTAATCTCAGCTGCAGAAACGCTGCCTGCAAAGTGAGATAGAGCAGAGTGGGAATTAACTCCTCCAAAAGATAGAGTGAAAAGCCCAGCTCTTGGCTCGCTTGAAGCCTGCCTGATAAAAGACTTCAATTTCTTAAGGAATTTATGGTGGAAATCAAGGCTGCACTTGCAAAGAGAAGGACTCAAGGCAGCACTGGGAGCAAGGTAGGAGCAGGCAGGGGGTAAGGGGGATTACAGACCCTGTCATACATCCTGCATATGGAGCAGAACAGCAGAAAAGCCCCAGTCCCCCCTTCTTACAGCCACGCAGCATGGCTGAGACATCCTCACTGAGACTGACCCCCCTGACAAGCAGAGCCTTCCCTCCTGGCTAGTTGGTCCCTGGGGAAAGCAGCATTACTGGGATCTTACGTGCAGTCGGCGTGAAGGACACGGGCCGGGGGCCGCCGGGGTTCACGGGGGGCAGCGGTGGCATGTTGGGAGGAGAGGACCTGGACTGTATCTTCACTTCCACGGGCGATCCGGGCATCACTGGCACCCTCTTCTCACCAGCAACTGTATGAAGAGAAGGTGGTAACGCTTAGGGCCAGCCGGGGACAAGCATTTCCCCGCCCAGCACTCGCAGCACCGCTGCAAGGGTGAGGAGGAGAAGCAGGGGGAGGTCACACCAGGCTCCAATGCTGCTCTGCATGGCCCCGAGTCACCATAGGGAAGGGGCAGAGCATGGCCCCAGGCCTGGGGACAGGCACTGGAGTGCAACACGTGTCCAGAGGTGCTGCAGGCAGGCTCAGGATGCCTGTGTTCACCATCCCAGTCTCCTGACTGCATCTTCTCACTCCTCATGCCTGAAGATGCTGCCTCAAAGTCTTCCTGCCTGATTGCTTTGCCCCCATTTAAGATTCCCCCAACACTCCCCATGCCCGCATGCACCTCACCAGCACAGGGAACTGAGGTTTCACCTCCAGCCCCGCTCCTCAAGCAGCAAAACCATGCTCTGAAGCAGCCGCTGTGACAAACAGCTCCCCGATGAGTTTGACAAGTTTGCTTTTAACCAAAAAGCTCAAAATTGAAGGCTCCTGCACCTCTTCTCCCTCACACCAGCGTGGTCCCTGTGCCAGCATTCATCAGCCTTGCATGCACCCTGTGTCCATGCTGCCTGCCTTGGAGATGGTCTCTCCAGAGGGACTGCAACCCCTATCAGACCCATGAACAATCTGGCCATACTCCTGGCTCCAGCAACTAAATCAGCCTCAGAAGGTGTTCTTGAAGGAAAAGCAGAGAAAAGGAGGAAATACGTTGCTTGGAGCAACCTGCTCTAGTGGAAGCTGTCCCTGCCTGTGGCAGTGGGGTGGAACTGGAGGAGCTTTGAGGTCCTTTCCAACCAAAACTAGTTGGGGATCAGATGTGGCTCATGCTCTTCTCTGCAAGCTCGGCTGTAGGCAGGCCAAGGAGAGCACCACATCGCTCCCTGCCCGCTGCTGGCCCATTCCCACCAACACCACAACACACTGCCACCTGCCTCATTTGATCTTCTTCACCCCCTTCCTATGAAACCCTCCTCCCCAGGCATCTATGTCCAAGCTGATATTGCCATGTGTTGTGGTTTAAGCCCGGGTGGTAACCCAGAACCATGCAGCTGCTCGCTCACTCCCCCCCATCTTCCTCCCCCTGCTCCTGAAGGGATGGGGAGGAGAATGGAAAGAATGTAGCTCCCACGGGTTGAGATAAGAGCAGCCCAGTAACTAAGGTATAACACAAATCACTGCTGCTGCCACCGATAATAATAACGATAAGGGAAATAACAAGGGGAGAGGATACAACCGCTCACCACCCACCGACCGATACCCAGCCCTACCTGAGCAGTGATCTCGCCTTTCTGGGAAACTGCCCCCAGTTCATATACTGGGCATGACGTGCTGGGTATGGAATACCCCTTTGGTCAGTTTGGGTCAGGTATCCTGTCTCTGCTTCCTCCCGGCTTCCCCTCCTCCCTGGCAGAGCATGAGGCTCACAAAGTCCTTGGTCAGACTAAACATCACTGAGCAGCAACTAAAACCATCGGTGTTATCAGCGCTGCTCCCAGGCTGAAAGTCAAAAGCACAGCACTGCACCAGCTACTAAGAAGGAGAAAAAATGACTGCTACTGCTGAACCCAGGACACCATGCCATAGATAGAGCGTGAAACCCATCCTTAAGGTTTCTCCTCTTTCCTCCTAAAATGCTTCCAGGGCACATTAAGGAAGCAGAACTGATCTGGTTGATTTACAGGGATAAGGGGAAATCACATGGAATTTATAGCTCCAAAATAAAAGCAGCTACTGCACGAAACACCAACCCAAGGTCCACGAGAAGCCAACGCCTTCTATTCCAAGCTCCCACCCTGACAGACAAGAAGCAAACAGGATCAGTAAATTTAAAAGCTTCTTGCAAGGACCTGGGGCATCTAAAACCACAGATAAAAACCATCTCTCTGAAACTCCTCATTTTTAGCCTAAACACGTGCATTTAATGAGAATCATGTGAACAAACCAGACTGCAAACAAGGACTTGAGTCAGCCTTGAGTTGACCTGGGGCTAAAAACAAGACGGTGAGGTGGTCCCTGGGGAGACGCTGCCTCCCCAGTCTCCTTCTTCCACATTTCACTGCTCAGCAATATTTACTGCCTCACCAACGGCAACATTTCAGTGCTGCCTCCAGACGCTCGGAGAGGATGCTGAGATGCTCCTCAAAAGGCCTGCGAGTCTCTCCACTGTATTAGTTACCCGAGATCATGCTGAAGAGTCAAATGCCATGACAGATTTTTAGATAATGCTCCAAGAAGAGTAATTCTTGTCAATGACTGAATACTCCAAGTGTCAGAGCAGGACAGCTGCCTAAACTGGAAACATTGGGTTGTCTTCTTTCCAAGCCTTACCTGGAGCTGGAAACATCTCCAAATGTTGGGCTGTTTTTCAAGCAATGTCTGTAAGACACAGATTGAACCTGCTTATGGCACAACCCAAATGTCAAACCTGCAGAGGCACATGCTCAACTCTGCACCCAGGACCTGCCAGGGCTCACCAGGCAGAGAAGCAGGAGCCAGTGGAAGAGCTGCCTTCCCACCCCTGAACATGCTGGAGCTTCACATGGGAAGGTGATACACCTGGAATAAAACAAAACCTGACCACAGAGATGCTTCAGTCTTGGATGGAAGCAAGGATTTCATCTTCTCCCAAAGCCGATGAAGCCTGAAGACCAGGTTTCCCATTGATGGGAGTTATGGATTTCAGGTGCTGCAAAGCTGCTCTCTGGGTGAGGGCAGCTGCAGGTATGTACCAGTTTATGTTGCATGCCCTATATACTTGTGTATCCCATTTAAGGAGCCCAGGTGTGCAAGAGCCTAGAAAGCCCCAAAGCTTTGAATACACCCGAAACCCTTCTCCCCACTGCTCTCCAGTGACACAGTGAAAGGCCCCGGTTTGATTTGACTCGCTGTGTTGACTGTTGATACGCATTGCATTTCCTTTGCTGCTCCAGTTCCCATCCTAGCATAACAAATTAAAGAGCAGCATATGTCAAGATGAAGTGCAGCTGATGATTCTGCTTTCTGGAGAGGAGAAAGAGCCAAGTGAGACAACAGCACAGCACAGCAGGAGAAAAACAGGGGTCTCCACTGGTCCTTGGAAAGATCGCACTCCTGCTGTCCCCAGGGACTGTGGTTCTCCAACCACAGCAGTTTCAGAGGGGGCAGGTTCAACAGCCACTCAAGACACATTTCATCCTATTTCTTGTCTTTAAAGAAATCTTTCTCCTGTGGTTGTTGGTACAAAGGGAGTGTTGCTGCGACAGGTAACGTCTGAGGAGCCACTAGCATTTACTCGCATTGTAAACTGTATAAAGAAGGTGCTTCACTGATCTCTCCATGCCTGTGGGTTTGAGAAAAGGGAAAAAGGCACAAGAAAAAAACTAGTGACAAGTTTGGGAGTACCTCAAGTACCTGGAATATAAATTAGTCCTTAAATGCCTTTGGGAATTAGAGAACATCCCTGGCAGTGTTCAAGGCCAGGTTGGACACAGGGGCTTGCAGCAACCTGCTCTAGGGGAAGGTGTCCCTGCCCGTGGCAGGGATTGGAACTGGAAGAGCTTTAAGGTCCCTTCCAACACAAACCAGTCTGGGATTCTATGAAATAAAAGCATTTCATGAGGAAAATTGGATGTTACCTTCTCCCAGAAAGCAAGGTAAGGAAGGGAAGAGAGCCAGGAATAGCCCCCGGGGCAGACACAAACTGTCTCCTCCCATCTGCTCCCTAACTTCAAAATATAGTTCCAACAGATGGTAGAATAACACCAGGATGGGAGATTTCCATTCAGTAACAAAAGACCCTAAACCTGCCTCACACCTGACTGGGGCCACAGCTCCCAGGTTACGTCTCCCATATGCATGGTCACATTTCAGAGGTGATGGGCAGTTACAAAGTGAACATGAATGCAGATAACTTCAAGCCATACTTCACACAGGTGGAGGATTCCTCAAGATTCACCGCTGTGAGGGTTAGGGTGGAAGGAGGAACCTGCCTGGCCTGGGAGCAGTTTTATACATCCCATTGATGAAGCAGCTGCAGAGTCAGAACTGCTCCCACAAACCTATTTGCCAGGCAAGCACTCTGGCTTTCTATAGACATCAGAACATGAAACATATGGGAAGAAGTGAAAGGAAACCACACTGAATGTGAGACAGCACTGCACAACCAACAGGTAAGCACAGGGGGGATTGCTCTTCCCTTCTGCAGTTTGTAGGACAAAGAGAGGAGACTCAAAAACCAGCCATGGACAACAAGGCTCTGACCCAAACTGAGTCTGCGAACCAACAGTTTTGGGTTGAGTTGATGTCTGTTGAACAGAAGACTGTGCACAAGGGCTGGCCCAGTGATTCAGAGGCTCAGCACTGAAAGCAGGGAGCTGTTTCCTGCAGAAAGAAGAGGTTTAATCAGAGCAGATGTTTTCAACTTCCATCTAGAACAGGCAGATTACGCTCATAACCTATAAAGCCACTTCTCACCTCAGAAAGTGAAGAGCCCAACATTCCTACCTGCCTCTGGAGAGCAAGGGACTGGAGAATCATCCCAGTAGCAGCAGCCAAGGTTAAATTTAACAGAAGAAATTCTGGATCTGAGCCTGTTCTGGAGCCAGTGGACACAGACACTACCAAAGGGATCCAGTCCACCCCAAAGCATTCATTAAAGCAAGGGAGATAAGCCACACTCCAGACACATCTCTCTTTCCACTGGCCCCACCACCTCAGATGACACTGGGCCTAGAGGCATGAATTATAGATCCCCTACAGTCAGGAAAACGAACCCTTCCCACAAACAGCCCATGGAACCAGATGCTTCCTCCCCCAACACTCACATGGGTATGTCTCTGGTTTAAGGTAAAGCAACACAAAGCTTCTCCAAATAGAATCATAGAAGGGTTTGGGTTGGAAGAGACCTCAAGATCACGCAGTTCCAACCCCCTGCCATGGGCAGGGACACCTCACACTAAACCATGCCACCCAAGGCTCTGTCTAACCTGG